TCCTGCCTCATCTTATTCAAGGGCATTTTACAGATGAGGATAGTGAGGCACAGAGAGATGAAGGAAGTTGCCCAAGCTCACACAAGTGGGGTTAGAATTAGAATTTAAGCCTGTTGAGTCACCTCCTTAAAATGATGTCTCCACCTCCCAGTTGGGAAGAATGAGAATGTTTAAGCAGAAGTCACTGGAACCTCTCAAACACACATGCCTACCAAAATCCTTAGCCCTCTCCTTGATTTCCCCTGGTGACAGGGAGCTCACCACCTACCAATGGCATATACTATCATTCCCATCCCTTCCACCCAGGCTGCTTTGGAAGTAATGGGGTCTCAGAGCTTTGATGGGAAATATCTCCAAAGCAGAGGAAGGTCAAGGAGAACTGAATGCAGCTGAGAGGTTGGGAGGCTAGGCTAGGGCAGAAGGTTTTGGATATGAGACTGTGAAGGTCTCTACTACCACAGTCTCGGGATCTAACAGCTCCCTCCGATACCGCTTCAAGCCCTGGGTGATTACTCAGTTTTGCCTGCCTTGGTGCTGCGCCAGCCCTCCTGGACTCCCCTGGGTTCCCAGCTGGAGGGTCCCAGCTCTCCCCTCCTGGGTCCAGCCTGCTGCACACGCTGCCCTAGAAGCTATCATTTCTTCCCCCCATATCATCAGAGGTGCAGAAGGGCACAGGACAGTCCTCCATTTCAGATGGGAACCTGAGACCCCAAATGATGTGTATGTATGTTTATCAAAGACTCTGCCTGGTATCTAGGTAAGAGAATTTGCATCTGGGTCCTGGAGGGAACATGTGTCTTTAACATGTTTTTATTGACTTTTTTACAAAGAACAGAAGGGAGAGAGAGCGAAACATCAATCTGCTGCCTCCTGCACTCCCCCTACTGGAGGTCGAGCCTGCAAACTGAGCATGTGCCCTGACTGGGAATCGAACCAGGACCTCTCAGTCCATGGGACAGCGCTCAACCCACTGAGCCACACCGGCCAGGCCGCATGTATCTTTGGATGTATAGACTTTTTATCTAGCATATTTAATGCCTGGCTCTATTCTTAGCTTTTGGTGGCTTACCAGTGGTTCTTAAACTTTTTTTTTTAATCTCAGGACTTCGTTTTATTCTTAAGGAAGACTAAAGCACTTTTGTTTGTGTTTTATAAGTCATACCAGCAATTAAAACTGAGAATTTTTAAAGATAACACTCTTTTCAAATAGCAATATTAAACCCATCGTTTCAGGTTAACACGAATAAAATTTTATAAAAAAATACATTTTCCGCCCTGGCCAGTTTGGCTCAGTGGTTGGAGCCTTGGCCTGCGGACCAGAGAGTCCTCGGTTCGGTTCCCGCTAGGGGCACATACCAAAAAAAAAATAAAGAATAAAAAGGTATGAAGGAGTATCAAGTGAATGAAGACCTGGGATTGAATTTTAAAAAATAATATTAAATAAAAAAAATAAAAATAAAAAATACATTTTCCAATACAAAAAAATATATATGTAGCAAGAGAGAGTCATTATCTTACACTTTTGCAAATCTCTTTGAAGTCCGGCATAACAGAAGCCAGCTGGGTCCTCATGGCTCTGCTGTGTTCAGTCCGTTCCAGTACCACGTGCCACGCAGCTTCTGGAAAACGCCACCAGATCCTCAGGGGGGAGGAAGGGGAAAACACAGAAAACATCTCAGTATGAAAATGTGACCGACTAGACCCCCTGAGAGGGTCTCGGGAACCAGCGCGCAGGTCACGCTGGGGGAACTAACTTTATGTTCACAAGGGTGCTGTGAGGTGGGTACTGGAATGAAATGAACCATGCCACCTGCCCAGGCTGCACAGCCCGGAGTAGTGTCAGGAGAACAGGGACAGCGATCTGAGCTCAAATCCCTACCCTGACCCTAACAAGTCTCTCTGGGGAAACACAGGGAGATACTGGCTGAGAGACCATCATCAACAGGCTAGATAGTCTCTCTCTGCCTCAGTTTCCCTAGCTGTGAGATGGGCTTAGTAATAGAGCCCAGCTCAAAACCTTGCCATGAAGAAAGGATTAGCAGACACAAGCGCTCCCAAGTGGTTAACTCTGGTTATCATGAGAGAGTTTAAGGGTGGTCGCATCTTGCCCTGGTCGCTTTGGCTCAGCGGTTGGAGCACTGGCCTGCAGCCCAGAGAGTCCCGGGTTTGGTTCCCGCTAGAGGCACGTGCAAAAAAAAAAGGGTGGACCCATGAGCCAGTGCACATGAGTGTTCAGAGGTGTATGCCTCGGTTTCTCCATCTGCTCGGCCAGGGGTGGGCCCTTGCTCTGGGTGAGCCCCTGCCTGCCTGCCTCTCCTAAAACTCCTGCCCCATTTTCATTCAATACACTGGGGTCTCCCAGGAGCCTTTAAGTGCCTGGAGGCCCCCGTGCCAGGCTGCTGAAGGGGCTCGGGAGGCAGGGATGTGGAACCTCCTGCTTGAGTGGGGAAGGCCTGCCTCTGACGCCAGCGTCTTTGTTCTCTGTATGAGAGGCTATAAGTTCCCACTTATGATCTAAAGGGGAGCCCAAATGTTGGGGTTCCAGTCCCTGTGGCGGGGTGGGGTGGGGTGGTAGAGCTAAGACCCCAGGATCCTGACCTTTGGAGTTCCTCAGATACCTATGTCCAGGCCCCTGCGAGGTCAGATCCCAAATCCTGGCCTTAAAAGAGGAGCGGTGGGCCTGGCCGGTGTGGCTCAGTGGCTGAGCCTTGACCCATGCACCAAGAGGTCGCCGGTTCGATTCCCGGTCAGGGCACATGCCCAGGTTGTGGGCCCAATCCCCAGTGTGGGGCATGCAGGAGGTCAATCGATGTTCTCTCTCATCGATGTTTCTGTCTTTCCCTCTCTCTCTCTCTCTAAAATGAATAGTGTGGGGGGGGGGGAAGCAGTGGGCCCTGGAAAGTTTGGCTCAGTGGTAGAGTGTTGGCCCGTGGACCAATGAGTTGCGGGTTCAATTCCTGCCAAGGGTACGTCAGTTGGTTCGTCCCCAGCCCTGGTCGGGGTCGTGCGGGAGGCAACCAGTCAATGTGTCCCTCTTACATCGATGTTTCTCTCTCTTCCCCTCCTACTCTATCTGAAGATAGATAGAAAAAGAAAAAAAAAAAGTGGTGGGCGCAGCAAGTGAGGTCCCCATTACATTCCTTATCAGGGCACATGCCCAGGTTGCAGGCTGGGTCCCCAGTGAGGTGTCCCTGTTGCTGAGGGGGGTGCTGACACCCTGAAATTCTCTCCTGGAATATGGATTGCCCAGCTGGCATGGCTCAGTGGTTGAGCGTAGACCCAGGCACCAAGAGATGGCCAGCTGGATTCCAATTCAGGGCACATGCCCAGGTTGTGGGCCCAATCCCTGGTGGGGGGCATTCAGGGGGCGGCCAATCAATGGTCTCTCTCATCAATGTTTCTCTCTCTCCTTCTCCCTTCCTCTCTTTCTCGAATTAATAAAGGGGGGGAAGGTCTGGATTTACATCCCTGAAGGGGTCACTGATGTCTGGGTTTCCATTCCTATAGGGTGGCTCAGGTGCTGGGTGCCCCCCTTGTCAAAAGAGATTGCTGAGGCCCTTGGAGGAGCTGAGGCGCTGGTTCCTCCCGGTGGGGTCTAGAGATAGTGCCCGGACACCGGTGTTCCCCTCTCTGACTCCGAGGTTCTTGTTCTTGTGGGAGAGGGCTGAACCCTCCATTGCTGAGAACCCCTCACCACTGAAAAGGCCAGAGAAGCTGGCACTGGGCTGGACCAAGGGACGGAGACTCGGTGGGCGGGGCCCTGGCAGGCCCCGCCCCCGCCCTCCTGCGCTGTCCCTGAGTCTCGAAGTCTGCGAAACCGCGGTGGGCGCAGAAAGCCTAGCGCCACAGCCCGCGGCCCGCCCTGGGGTCTATGGGGCCACCCCTCTGCGCCGCCGGGCCGGGCCCACGCCGCGCCCGAAACCCGCCCCACAGCCAGGTAACGAGGCTGGGGGTCCTGCGGGTAGGGAACCTTCTGGCTGGCATGAGGGGACGGGGAACTCCTGGGTCCTGTAGGAATAGGAAGGAGATTGGAACTCTAGGGTCCTGGAGGCTAGGTTATCCAAACGCCTGTACCCCGAGGTTGGAGGAAGGGGTACACGGATGTTTGGGTCCTGGAGGAATAGGGGGTTTAGGGGATATGAACACCGGGTTGCGGAGGCTTGGGGGCGGCGTGGGTACTGGGGTGACTAGGGGGAGTCCCGAACATCTAGTCCTGGAGAAATTAATACCTAATTAAACATGTTCCTGGTTCTAGGGCATATAGATACCAGGACACCTGGGCCCCGAGCATTAGGGCCATCCTGGGTGCGTCCTCGGCTGAGGCTCTGGCCATTGCGTCCCGGGTTGGGGCTGGCACGCCCGGGTCTTCGGGGAGGAAGTTGTGGTTTTGGAGATTTGGTGGTCCGGACACATAGCGCCACCCCAGAGGCTGCAGGGGCGGGGGGGAATCCTGGGCAGAGCATGGGGTGGGGGTCCCTGCCCTCTGCCCTCCTACCTTCTTAGCCTAGAGCTTGGGGGGCGAATCACCGGGCCACAGGACTCCAGGGGCTGGAACCCCGCGCGCCTGGGCCCTGGAGAGGCGCCCGCCCCCAGCCGGGCTTGGGCATGCCTGGCACGCAGAGCGCGGGCCGGTCGGATCCGTATGCGCGCCGCGTGCGCCTATTGGTATGCGGGAGCCGGCCCGGCGCGGGCGTGAGGCGGGCGCACTGGCGGGCGGCGTGGGGGAGGCGGCGGCGGGGCACGTCCTCGCCCTGAGCTTCTCCCGGGGCCGGGCAGGGTGAGAGCTGCGGGTTCCGTAGTGGGGCCTCCAGGGAGGGGAAACTGAGGCACCGTCCAGCTCCAGCTCCTTGCTGGGACCCTGAGCCCCGCGCGGACCTCAGTTTCCCTAGCAGCTCTGGGGGGGGGGGGGAGGACTTCCTCGGACACTGAGCACGGCCTCCTTTGGTTCCTTCCCGCCGCAGAAGACGCGGGTCTCGAGTCCCGCAGGCTGCTCTGAGCCCGCCTGAGCGAGTCCCCACAGAGATGGCGGCCCCCTATCCCAGCAGTGGTGGCAGAGGAGAGGTCAAATGCGGGACAGGTCGTGGTGGCAGCGTCCCGTGGGACTTTCTGCCTGGGGTCATGGTCAAGGCCCCGCCGGGACCCTGGTGAGCAACGCCCCGCCCCTCGGGCCTCGCCCCGCCCCCAAGTCTGGGTCCTGGTAGAATTCACACTCACTTCTGCCCCATCTCCTGGGACGAGAATTTCTCACCCAGAGTTGCTCAACCGTCGTCCTGTAACCCACCCCCAGCAAGTGGTGTTTCTGCCCCTTCGTCAGAATTCCTGCCCAACACCCCTCCTCTCGCCTCCCCTTCCCCCTTTACACTCCAGGTTGTGTCCACAGGGCCGCCGGGTGCAGAATTCACACTCAGGTTCTGCCCCCACCTCCAGAGTGTTGAATCCACTTCCAGCGTCCCGTGCCGTCCGCGAGCCCCTCCCCCAGGCCTCGCACCCCTCGCCTCCGGGGCCCGCTGACGCCTCCTCCGCGCCTCCCGCCCAGCCTGCAGGCGCAGCGCAAGGAGAAGTCCCGGAACGCGGCGCGCTCGCGGCGCGGGAAGGAGAACCTGGAGTTCTTCGAGCTGGCCAAGCTGCTGCCGCTGCCCGGGGCCATCTCGAGCCAGCTGGACAAGGCGTCCATCGTGCGGCTGTGCGTCACCTACCTCCGCCTGCGCCGCTTCGCCGCGCTCGGGACGCCGCCCTGGGGGCTGCGAGCGTCCGGGCCCCCCGCCGGCCTCGGTGAGTGCGCATGCGCGGGTCCGGCCGGAGGGCCCCGGATCCCAGGCGCCCGCCCGCCCTCGCCCAGCGCCTGGATGCAGAGGGAGCAGAGAGTTTGGAGTCAGACAGACCTTTTGTGTGTCCCTATCAGGTGGCTTTTACTCTCCAGGACTCAGTTTATTCATCTGCAAGACGGGCACATGAGGTAGGGAAGATGTCAGGAATTCTGGCTTCATCCAGGGCCTGGCGACACAAGGGATCAAACTAGTAAATGCTATTATTTGTATTAGAGGAGATGAAGGAGACCCGCAGCTCGGTGAGCGGGTCAGAGGGGACATCTACTAATGGGCAAGAGACACCGCCCTCCCCTCAGCACCCAGACTTGAGGAAACACAAGGCCTCTGGAGTCAGAATTCCCAGTTTGGGAAGGCGGGAGGGAAACAGTGTAATATGGCAGGTAAGATGGTGAGCTTCAGAAAGACTCACTTGTGGCCCTGTCGCCACTGGACCCAGCATTGTGACCCCGGGCAGGTCACCTCATCTCTCTGTGCCTCGTTTGTGAAATGGGAATCGTGATGACACCTCTCCCTGAGGGCTAAGGAGAGGATCAACCAGCTAATATGTGTGAAGACTCTACCTTGGCACAGTAAGCAATCAATATGTGGTCACTGTTGTTCTCCATGGTGACCCTGCAGGGCTGTTGGGGGCCTGTGGTTTATTGAACATCTACTGTGTGCTGCTACTATTCTTAGCTCTGGGGATCCAGCAGGAAACAGACTAGATAAAAGTTCCTGCGTTAGACAGGCTGACATCCTAGTGGCCAAGACACAATAACCAAATAATCAAAGAAACAGAAACTATAATATATAAATATAGAATATGTAAAATATAGATACATATAGAAGCTCGCTTTTATTATTATTTAGAGTTTATTATTGATAGATACATAGAAGTGTTATTACTTCTTTTTATGCTTTACTCTTATTACTAGAAGACAAGTGAATCGTATTAATGTGAGATCGGAGGTGACAGACACAGGGCACCCCAGGCTCTCCCACCCCAAAATAAGAGGTGTCCTTAGGGTGGGGTTGGGGGGCTCCAATTCCCCTCCTGCCCCGGTCCCAGGGGGGAGAGGGAGAGAAAATAGCATTGATTAAGCTCGCAATAAATCACCATTTAAATTTAAATAATCCGGCTTCCCAGGCGGTAATTAGGCGAATTGACTGGCACCGAGAGAATGCGGCATTAGAGCCTCTGATTACTGTCATTACCGCGAACAACATGTGCGCCGGCGGGGTATAAACATCTTGTCTATTGTCCCCGAGCCCAGGGAGAGAAATGGGGGGTGCAGTGAGCCGGCCGGCGTCTAGCCCCGCCCCCATTGCCTGGGTGGGCACGTCCGGGGGGCAGGGGCTCGCTGAGGGCACAGCCCTGAGGTGGCAGACCTCGAACTTCATCTAACCTCCTGCCTGTACACCCGGAACTGGTGGGGGGAGGGACTTCGTGGACTCCCTCCCATACCCCCAAAATTAGGACACTGGGGGCATCTCCAGCTCTACAGGGTCTCCCAACAGGAGGCCAAGGGCCTGCTTCTGTAGTTCAGATGGCTAAACGGAGGACAGCATGGTAGCAGAGGTCAGAGAGCAAAGCATCGAGCCTCCCAAGAGGAAGGGGCTCCCATGTTCTCCCCAATAATAATAATAGTAATAGTAATAATACAGCAGGGTGCGGACACTATGCTGAGCACTGTATATAAATGAACTCGCGGATGTGAGGGCGATCTGGCTGCGACATCTGTCACCCCAGTGATTGCCAGGGTTGATTCGGCTGATCTGGCTGGTTAGGCGAGTGTCCCCCTCCTCCCTCACCGATCCCTGTGCCTCCCTCCTGAAGCTGCGTGCTGGGTGGAAGAGGACGACCTTCCCCCCAGAGGAGCGGTCCGGTCTTGGGTCAAGGGTATACAGTAGCTGCGCTCCCCTGCCAGAACCTCCAAACAAGCCCTCAAGGTCCATTTGTATGAGAACGTAGGTAGTCAAGCTTCCAAGACTCCAGGCACATCGGAATGAGGCGCTGCACGTGGCAGTCTGCCTTTCTTTAAAAAAAATAAAATAGTCCTGGCCGGTTTGGCTCAGCGGTCGGAGCGTCGGCCTGCGGTCCAGAGAGACCCGGGTTCGGTTCCCGCTAAGGGCACGTGCCTCAGTTGCAGTTTGTCCCCGGCCCTGGTTGGTCGTGCGAGTGGCAGCCATTCGATGTGTCCCTTTCACGTCGATGTTTCTCTCTCTCTCTCTCTCTTCCTCTCTCTCCTTCCCACTCTATCTGAATGGAAAAATGTCCTTGGGTGAGGATAAAAAATAATAATAAAATAATAAAATAAAATAATTAATTAACTAATTAACTCAATCTTCTCAAGACTCTTAGGAGGGAGGCCATTCTGTGATCCCCCCGCCCCTTTTTTTAAATATGAAATTCTAGTTTCAGTATTCTTTTTTTAATTTTATTTATTTTTTATTTTTTGAAGTCCAAATAAGAGCTGTTTATTAGCCGGCTGGTGTCTGATTCCAAACACCCCTGTGACAGAGTCTTTGGAATCAGCCTCAGTATTCTTTTTTTAAATGTTTTTTTTTTTTTTTTTTTAATTTTTTATCCTCACCCAAGGACATTTTTCCATTTTTGTTCAGATAGAATGGGAGGGAGAGAGCGAGAGAGAGACATCGACGTGAAAGGGACACATCGAGTGGCTGCCTCTCGCACAACCCAACCAGGGCCGGGGACAAACTGCAACCGAGGCACGTGCCCTTAGCGGGAACCGAACCCGGGTCTCTCTGGACCGCAGGCCGACGCTCTAACCGCTGAACCACACTGACGAGGACAAAATTTTTTTTAAATATGTTTTTATTTTTGCCCTGGCCAGTGTGGCTCAGTGGTTGAGCTTCAACCCGAGCACGGAGCACAGAGCACTGAGCACGGAGCACACGAGCACCCGAGAGGTTGGATTCCCTCAGGGCACATGCCCAGGTTGTGGCCTGATCCCCCAGTTAGGGGCGTGCAGGAGCGGCCAATCTATGTTCGCTCTCATCGATGTTTCTACCTCTCTCCTCTCCCTTCCTCTCTCTCTAAAAATCAATATAAAGGAAAAAAGTTTTTACTTTGTATTTATTTATCTATTTTTTAATCCTCACTTAAGAATATTTTTTCATTTATCTTCAGATAGAGTAGGAGGGAAGAAGAGAGGGAGAGAGAGAGAGAAACATCCACTGGTTGCCTCAGGCACAGCCCGGACCAGGGCTGGGAGGAACCACAACCGAGGTACGTGCCCTTGACCAGAATGAAACCCGAGACTCATGGGTCCACGGGCTGACGCTCTAACCGCTGAGCCGAACCAGCCAGGGCATAAAATATGTTTTCATTGATTTTTTAGAGAGGAAGGGAGAGAGGGATAGAAACATCTATGATTGGCTGCCTCCTGCACACCCCCTACTGGGGATGGAGCTCAAAACCCAGACATGTGCCCTGACCAGGAATGGAACCCAGACCTCTCCGTCCATGGGACGCCGCTCAGTCCACTGAGCCACACCGGCCAGGCTGATTCCCATTTTATTTTATTTTTTTTTATCCTCACCCGAGGACATTTTTCCATTTTTTGCACAGATAGAGTGGGAGGGAGAGAGAGGAAGAGAGGGAAACATCGACGTGAAAGGGACACATCGAGTGGCTGCCACCCGCACGACCAACCAGGGCCGGGGACAAACTGCAACCGAGGTACATGCCCTTAGCGGGAACTGAACCCGGGTCTCTCCGGACCGCAGGCCGATACTCTAACCGCTGAGCCAAACCGGCCAGGGCTGATTCCCATTTTATAAAGGTAGAAAACTGGGACTCAGAGAGGTAAAGCTGTTGACCCAAAGTCACAGAGCCAGGAAGAGGCCCAGCTGAGGGTCCGGCTCCAGAGTTCACCTTCTCAACCACCATACTCGGCATAGTGTAGGTCTGCAGGGATGAGAGACCTTGCGGGTCTCAGCCTCTCTCTGGGACTGCGTCTACCATCTGTAAAATGAGACAACAGAGGTTAAAGTCTGGCACTGGGCCTCAGACTCTGGGCCTCAGACAGCTTTGGTTTCAAATCGGCATTGGTCATTCATTCAACAAACACCCACTGAACACCTTCCCTGTTCCAGGCACTGTCTAGATGCCAGGGACACAGCAGGGAACAGGACAAAGACCCTGTCCTCAAGGGTGGGTCCCCTGTTCCCCCCTCCTCCTATTACCTGTTCAGACCCTCCCCCACCCCAACACACACACATTGGCTGTTCTTCAGAGAAGTGCATACTCACCTCAGGACCTTTGTACTTGCTGTGTCCCCACCAGGAACTCACTTCCTTCTGAATGTTTGCTCTTCAGCAAGGCCTTCCCTGATCATTCTGCTAAAAATGGCAATGGCCTAGCATTCCCTGTCTTCCTTTTCTGCCTTATTTCCTTTCATAGCACTATCATTTGACACTATATATTTCTTATTTCTCTTGTTTACTGTATGTCTCTCCCTCACGACTTCTTGTTCCCTGAGTCTGGGACACAGTAAGAACTCATTTCTGCAGCTGGGTGACTGTGGAATGGAACGAGGGAAGAAAGGGTGATATCTTAATTCACAGGTCAGGCATGACCTCTCTGAGGAAGTGACCTTTGAACTGAGACTGGAAGGAGGTGAGGGAGCAAGCTGACAAAAGCTAGAAGAGCTGTCCAGGCAGAGAGAACAGCAAGTGCAAAGGCACTGAGGCAGGCTGGAATCAGCTTGCTGGTTTGAGGGAGCCTGGAGAGAAGTAAGCGATGCAGGGAGTGGTCAGCAGGGGCCAGGTCCTGTATGGCCTTATGTCCTGTGATGAGGACTTTGTCTGTTACCCCGAGTAAGGTGGGAGCCATAGTGATGGTGAGTGTGAGTGGGAGCAGGGAGCCTGTGAGGAGGTGAGTACAGTGGTCCAGGCTGGAGGTGGGGTAGCTGGAACAGGGTGGGGGCTGTGGGGTGACTGCTGACTGGAGTCAGATGATGCCATGAGGGTACAGCTCGTATTACTTCCAGGTGTGAGAGACAAAGGGGTCAAGGTGCAGGGCAAGTAACTACTTGGAAGGTAGAGGTATCTCAGGTTATCCATAGTAATACTGAGAAGAATAGTGGCAGAGCTCAGGAAGTAGGCACCTACTGTGTGCCTGGTTCTGTGCTGCTTACATGCATGAACCCATTCTGCTCTATCACTGGGCCCATTTTACAGATGAGGCTCAGGGAAGTAGAGGCAGAAATGCCCCTCTCCAGCCCTCAGGCCCATAGACTCTGATTGGGTAATGAAGTCCCAGCCCTTCTTCCCTACCCCCACCCCACCCACCCCAACCCTACAGCAAAACCCTTGGGACAACTGAGAATGGGAGGGGGAGGGGGAACCCCCTGAGTCCTGGAAGAGGCCTTCCATCCCCACCCTGTAAGGGATGGCGACCACTGGGACAGTTTTTCTCCTCCAGCAGAGTCAGGCTCCAAGAAGAAACAGCAAATGTTTGTTGAATGAGTGAATGGTGGTGGGGTTTGGAGGTGAGGAGGGGGCAGGTCTTGGAGTATCCAATTTGGGGAGTTGAGGCATTTGGGAAGGAGAGGAGGAAACACAGGGGCAGGGGTTGGGGAAGTGGAGGGTTTGGGGAGGGACAGCCTGGGGGTGATACAAGGCACCAGCCAGTGGTGGGGACAGATCGCAGGGCTCCCCATCCCAGGGGACAGGCCGGGAGTTTGGGGGAACAGCCAGTGACTGAGCCTTCCCCCGACACGCACCCCCACCCCCGTCCTGACGTGCCCATTAATGCTGTTAATTGCAGCCGTTCAGTCTGACCTGGGCTGATCCTCTGAGAGGGAAAATGAAGGAATTAGCAAAAATGACAGGGGAAAATTGCAACAATTAGCAAGCAGCATTGTTCCCTCCTGTCACCCGGCTTGTTCGCGCTGCATCTCGGGGGAGGGGTCCCCATTAATCACTCCCACCCCCATCCCCAGTTATTGTTCCTGGAGCTCCAGGCGAGGGTGGGAAAAGGATGTAACAGCCGGAGGATGTTGGGGGAGCTCCTGGGAAGGGGTGTGGCCTAGACATGAGGGGGCTGGGGCGGGGCTGAGGGCTGCGCCCTGATTGGCAGAGGGGGCGGGTTTTCTCCGCCTGGTGTTTTGATGGTCTGGAAATAACAATAGTAATCACACTATTAGTACTCATTCTGGTTCTGTGTTTCCGAGCACCTGCTGTGGGCCAGGCCACGCTAGGCCCTTTCTAGAAGTTCCTTAAGCTGACTGAATGCTCAACCAGCCTGGGAGGGCTGCGCTTGGAGCAAACCCACTTGACAGAGGAGGGAAACTGAGGCACAGAGAGCTGAAGGGACTGATCCCGGGGCATACAGCCACACACTGGACCTGGACCCAGCCCTGCAAGAGCCAGGCGCTTGGGGACCCTGGAGGCCATCGAATTTTTCACCTGGCTCCCCAGTCTGGGCATGGGGTTGTTGGGGGGTCATTCTCCACAGGGTCAGGGAGGGGGTCCTGGGTGGGAACAGGGTCCATGGCCTCTATCCACCCCAACATGGACGTCTAGGGCTCTCAGCTCCTGACGGGGGGTGGGGGGGCTGGGACGGGGGCCGGTGTCTCTGCCTCTGTTTTTCTCTGTCTCATTCACCATTGCTCTCTTTTCGCCACTTTCTCTGTATCTGTCTGTGCACCTTTTCCTCAGTCTCTCCATCTGTTTATGTCTCTGTCTTTGGCTCTCTTTTTTTTTTTTTGGCTCATTTTTTTATTGAGACAAAATTTATAACATGAAATTCACCATTTTAAAGTGTACAGTTTAGCCCTGGCCGGTTTGGTTCAGCGGTTAGAGCGTCGGCCTGCGATCCTGAGAGACCCGGGTTCGGTTCCCGCTAAGGGCATGTACCTCGGTTGCAGTTTGTCCCCAGCCCTGGTTGGTTGTGCGGGTGGCAGCCACTCGATGTGTCCCTTTCACATCAATGTTTCTCTCTCTCTCTCTCTGTTCCTCTCTCTCCCTCCCACTCTACCTGAACAAAAAATGGAAAAATGTCCTTGGGTGAGGATAAAATAAATAAATAAATAAAGTGTACAGTTTAGTGGCATTTAGTGTATTATCAATGTCAAGCAACCACCACTTCTATCTAGTTCCAAAACATTTTCATCATCACCCTAAAACACTGTACCCATTAGCAGTCACTCCCCATTCCCCCTCCCCCAACCCCAACCCCTGGCAACCACCATTCTGCTTTCTGTCTCTACAGATTTGTCTATTCTGGACATTCCATACGAATGGATCATACAATATGTAGCCTCCCAGGTCTGTCTTCTCTCACTTAGGACGACGTTTTCAAGGTTCACCTGAGCTGTAGTGTGAATCGGTGCTTCATTCCTTTTTATTGCTGAGTAATATTCCATTGTCTGAATATAGCACATTTTGTTTGTCCATTTGTCAGTTAATGGACATATTGGCTTAGTTCCACCTTTTGGCTGTTAGGAATAATGCTGCCATGAACATTCATGTGCAAGTATTTGTTAGAGTGTGTTTTCGAGTCTTTTGGGCACATGCCTACAAGTGGAATTGCCGGGTCAGATGGTAATTCTATGTTTCACTGACTGAGGACCCACCGCCCTGTTTTCCAGAGCAGCTGCACCACTGAATCCCCACCAGCAACGCACAGGATGAGGGTGTGGGTGTCCGAGTTCCCCCCATCCTCGCTCAACATGTATTTTCTGGTGTTTTTTTTTTTTTTTTTTTCTTCTAACCATCCTAATGAGTGTGAAGTGGTCTCTCACTGTGGTTTTGATTAGCATTTTGCTAATGACTAATGAGTTTAAGCATCCTTTCATGTGCTTATTAGCCATTTGTGTATCTTGTTTGGAGAAATGTCTATTCAAATCCTTTGCTCATTTTTTTCTTTTTAATTTTTTTCTTTATTGATTTTAGAGAGAGAGTAAGGGAGAGGGAGAGAGGGGTAGAAACATCAATGAAGGAGAACGTGGATTGGCTGCCTCCTGCATGCCCCCCACTGGGGATCGGGCCCACAACCTGGGCATGTGCCCTGACTGGGAATCAACTGGCGGCCTCTAGGTGCACGGGTCGACGCTCAACCACTGAGCCACACCAGCCAGGCCCTTTGCTCATTTTTTTTTTAAATTTTTTCTTTCTTTTAGTTTTTTTTTTCCCCCCTTTATTTATAGAGAGAGAGGAGGGGAGAGGGAGGGAGAGATAGAAATATCGATGAGAGAGAACATCGATTGGCCACCTCCTGCATGCCCCCAGCTGGGGGCTTGGCCCACAACCTGGGCATGTGCCCTGACCGGAATCGAACCGGCGACCTCTTGGTGCGTGGGTTGACGCTCAACCACTGAGCCACACCAGCTGGGCCCTTTGCTCATTTTTTAATTGGGTTGTTGTTGAGTTGTAATGTCCTTATCTCTTTCTCTATTCCTTTATATCTCTCTGTATGTCTCTCTGTCTCGGTGTCTCAATCCCTCTCTCTTTCTGTGCTCTCTGTCTGTCTCCGTGTGTGTGTCTCTCTCCTTCTCAGTCTCCTTTCTGCCCCTTCTCATTCTTCAGGTCTGAGCTCACCTCTCCTCCTTCAACAAGCCTCCCTTACCCCATTTCCCACAATCTATTTGATTCTTCATAGCACTGGCCACAAGTGATAATTCTGTTTGTTAGTGCGTCACTTGTTCATGTGTCCCTGGCCTGGGTGTCCCATGAGGGCAGGATCAGGCTCTCTGGGTCACCCCAGTGTTCCCCGCACTACCCAGCACAGAGCCTGGCCGCACAGTGTGTGCTCAGGGAGAGTTTGCCGCAAAGATGGATGGATGGATCCCTTTCTGCGCGATCTGGTGTCTCTCCAGGTGTCTGTCCAGCCTACGTCTGCCCGTCTCACTCCCCACATCTCAGGTCTCTCCCCAGCAGGACCCAGGGACCCTCAATGCCCCAAGATGGCTACAGGACTGGGAGGAAGAGAGGAAATGTGTAGCCTGGTTCTCTGGGAACCTTCCCAGAAGGCCGGGGTCCGCCAGACCGCAGGCCCCAGCCTCACCCCTCCCTCTGCCCCCAGCCCCAGGCCGCAGGGGCCCCGTGGCACTGGTCTCCGAAGTCTTCGAGCAGCAGCTGGGAGGACATATCTTGCAGGTGAGGCCCCTTCCCTACCTGCTGCTCCTTGCTGTCACCTGGTGGTCACCTCTGAGAATAGCACTCTTTTTTCCAGCATCCATCCGTACATGGAGGCTGATGCTGGGCCTCCCCTTCCTCCTGTCCCTTCCCGGGGCCACTGAAGTCCCACCCTCCCCTCCAAAAAACTAATCCATCCTAAGCAGAGATGAGGTTTCAGAACCTCTTATAGATGCCCTGCCCTCCTCTTCCCCCTCCCTGTCTCTCCCACTCTAGTCCCTGGATGGCTTTGTGTTTGCCTTGAACCAGGAGGGGAAGTTCCTCTACATCTCGGAGACGGTCTCCATTTACCTGGGTCTCTCACAGGTAAGGCCCCTCAGCAGGCTGCCTGGACTTGAGCAACCACCTTGGAGGCCCACACATGCCCTTCCTCCCTCCTGGCCTCACCATCCCAGCATGGAAAAGGGACTGAATTTGTGGTTCCCAAAGTGCACCCTTTGGAACCCCACTTGGCATCCAACATGGCTCCTCCTCACAGGCACAGGTCAATATGAAGGAAGCAAAGTAGCAGAAAGATCACTTTGCCAACGAGAGGTGGCCACATGCACTACATTTACCAAAACTTTTTTCTACTTAAGCGTTTTAAAGGAGCCCTGGCCGCTGTGGTTCGGTTGCTTGGGCGTTGTCTCGTACACCGGGAGGTTGCTGGCTTCGATTCCCAGTCGGGGTGCATGCCTGGGTTGCCAGGATCGATTCTCAGAGCGGGCTTGCTGATCTGTGTTGCGTTCTCCCATCGACATTTCTCTCTCTCCCCCTTTCTCTCTAAAAATCAATAAACTATTCTTTAAAAATCTTTTAAAGGATTACAACAATTCATACAGGAAGGGCTTGGGATCTGCAAGCTTTGGGAGATTTTCCGGGTGTTTGTAAGCTCCTGTCTCTGGAGTCCTGGCTCCTTGTGGCATCTTAGGCCAATCCATTCGATACAAATTGCTACCAACTTTTATCATTTTTAGAAAGATTTTGGCAAATAGTAAGTTTAGAAAATTCAGTGCTTTGGCCCTGGCTGGCCCTGGCTGGTTACAGTGTCAGCCCTCAGACCAAAGGGTTGCAGGTTCAATTCCTGGTCAAGAGCACATGCCTGGGTTGCAGGTTCAATCCCCAGCCCTGATCAGGGTGCATGCGGGAGTCAAACGATCAGTGTGTCTCTCTCACATCAATGTTTCTCTTTTTCCCTCCCTCTCTCCCACTCTATCTAAAAATCAATGGAACATTACCCTTGAGTGAGGATTAACAAGAGAGAGAGAAAAGGAAGGAAGGAAGGAAGGAAGGAAGGAAGGAAGGAAGGAAGGAAGGAAGGAAGGAAGGAAGGAAGGAGAGAGAGAGAAAGAATTCAGTGCTTTGGTATTTGGCCTTTGCGAGCACATTTTCTTTTTTTTCCATTTATGTTCAGATAGAGTAGGAGGGAGAGAGAAACATTGATGTAAGAGAGACACATCGGCTGGCTGCCTCCTGCACGACCCGACTGGGGCCGAGGATGAACCGCAACCGAGGTGTATGCCCTTGACCAGAATCAAACCCGCAACTCTATGGTCCGCAGGCCAACACTGTAGCTGCTGAGCCAAACTGGCCAGGGCTGTGAACACCTTTTCAGTGAATTGTTGGAGATTTCTGGAGAAGGAAGACCCTACAGGAAGGGGAATATGGACAAGAGAAAGGGAGGGAGGAAGAGTGGAGGAGAAGCTTGAAGCTGAGGTAGGAAGGACTTAATGAGGGGAAGGAGTTCAGAGGGATGACCCCAAGCCCTGGGTGGGAGCCATGGGAGGTCGGGTTTTTTTATTGACATTATTACAGATGCCCCCATCCCCCCTTTTACCCACCTCTCCCCAGACATGCGAGGTTTCTGAGAGGAGGAAGGCCATGGTCAGATGATAAACTTATGGAGGTGTCCCCATTTGATTGGGGACTAAAGGCCAGAAGACCAGTGAGGATGCTGGGGCAGAAACACAGCAGGGAGAATATGGGGCCTGGACTGGGGGAGATGTGGACAGAAGATTTGAGGGGAGGGTGTGAATTGAATGGAAAAGTTTAACTAAAGGGTCCTAATTCCACTCTTTGTATCTTGAGTTGCATTCCTGCTGGGACATCTTGTGATTCATTTCAGGGCACAGTTGTTTGCTGTAAGTTAGAGGCTGTGACACCTCCCCATCCCAACACCCTACACAGCTCCTTAATAGAGTAGGCAGGGACAAAACATAGTTAATAATCACTGGCCTTGAGGTGGGAGGGCACAGAAGAGCCTAGGTTTGTTTCCTCCTTAAAAAACGTTTTTTTGTTTTGTTTTCTAAATCCTAATATAAACAAGACTGGCACTAAACACTCCTGCATGTAAGCGAATGAACACTGGCCAAACCGGGCGGGCAAGTGACTGCGCGTGCCTCACCCGGCCCTGCATTCCCCACCTTCGCCGACAGGTGGAGCTGACGGGCAGCAGCGTCTTCGACTACATCCATCCCGGAGACCACTCAGAGGTGCTGGAGCAACTGGGACTGCGGACCCGGACCTCCGGGCCCCCCACCCCACCCTCCATCCCCTCCTCTTCCTCCTCCTCCTCCTCTTCCTCCTCGCTTGCCGATACCCCTGAGATCGGTAATTCCGAGGGCCCCCAAAGAATGAGGCCTGATCAGGGACACCGGATACATTGTATCCAGCTATGTTTCATTTATACAAAACACACTCTCCTTAGAATTGTGCAAAGCAAATTTTTATAAAACGAATCAGAGTCTAAATTGAGGCAGAAAGACTTGGCTCCCTAAGATCGCCTGGCTCCTCAAGTTTTGAGCTTTAGAAAGACCCCTCAGGCTGCCTGTGGGTGACAGAATCAGGCTTTGGTAAATAATAACAGGGCAGGCTTATTGAGCATTTACATGTGCCGTGCCTCTCAGTACATAATTTCATTGAATCCTAACCACAATCCCACAAAGCAGGAACTATTCTCTCCATTTTACAGAGGAGCAAACAGGCACAGCACAGCGAAGCTGTTGAGTGTTCTAGGTCACACAGCTGTAAGTTGTTAAACTAGACTCCAACCCAGGTTTGTCTGGCTCCAGGATCTATGCTTCTCAACCTTCTCTCCAACGGAAAATTCCACTCCACGTGGAGGAGGGAGCGTGGAGGAGATGACCCTGCAAGTTCCTTTTAACTCTGTGATGTTGAGGAGACAGACTGTGAGGTTGACTTACCTGTAAATAAGATTTTCTTACAGGGGGTTTGCTTTACACCAAAATCATCTGAGTCGTCAGCAGTGATTACAAGTTTGGGGAGATGTTTGGGACACGTGTTGGGGCTGTGATTATGTTTGCACCTAAATTTGAGGCACGGGGTCATCTGGGTGTGAGCATATTTATGACTGTATAATGGGGTTTATAGAATAATCTGTATCTGTGAGTCTTATCTGTTGCTATACCCTGAGGGCCTGCTCTGTGCCCAGCTCTGTGCTGGGCAGGGCTGGGGACACAGGAGTGACAGTCCCAACCCCACCCTCCCAGGGCTCACAGTCCAGTGAGGGATACTGACCCATCTCCAGCGTGGGTAGGGCTGCGGTGGGAGACCCCCGAGGGGCATCTGGCCCAGCTTGAAGGTCAGGGAGGGCTTCCTGGAGGTGATGTCTGACCTGAGACGGTGTCAGTAGGAAGCAGTTCTTGCCAAAGGTTTAGGCCACAGTGAGGAGCTGGGCTTTCTCCCTAGGGTCCTATGGAGCCATGGCAGCTTCAGGACAGGGGAAGGACAGGGTCAGAGCTGAGCTTTAGAGAGACCCTGCTGGCTGCTCGGAGGGGAGGTTAGTGTACGAAGTCACTGAGCTTGCAGAACCGTTAGGTGGGTCTGAGTATCTGGGCTGGCTCTGAAGGGGGGGGGCGCCTATATACGTCCCCTCCTCAGGACCCCGTAACTTTCCTTCACTCTTTCCGCCCCAGAAGCCAGCCCCACCGAGGTGCCCCGCTCCTCCGGGGCCCAGGAGCGCTCTTTCTTCATCCGTATGAAATCCACCCTCACCAAGCGGGGTCTGCACGTCAAGGCCTCGGGGTACAAGGTGGGTGTGAGCTCTGTGGCCCCAGCCTCTGACTCCCGCGTCCCCTCATCGCCCATTCCTGCCAGCTGTGTCCCTGCGCCCAGTGCCCGTGGGTGACCGCTGGAACCACGCCGCTGGTGGGCTGAGGTCCTTCCGCCCCGCCCTGACCACGCCCACCACCTGCAGGTCATACACGTGACTGGTCGCCTTCGGGCTCGCGCCCTGGGCCTTGTGGCCCTCGGCCACACGTTGCCCCCCGCCCCACTGGCTGAGCTGCCACTACACGGACACATGATCGTCTTTCGTCTCAGCCTGGGTCTCACCATCCTCGCTTGTGAAAGCAGGTACGGGGTGGGGCTGAGGCGGGCCGATGGGGACGCACAGGAGAGCGGGGTGTGGGTTGGGGCACTGGGGGGAACTGGGGAGCTGCGGGAGGCGGGAGAGCAGCGGAGGGGAAGGGAGGGAAGGCGTAAGGACGGGGCGGGGCCTTGGGGGAAGGCAGAGGTCCCAGCACTCCCTTGGGGTCGCCCCTCCCTGGTCCCATCTCTCTCCCCATCTCTGTCGGCCTCTCGAGTCCCTCATCTCTCATCCACTCTTTCTCCTGCACCAAGCGGTGGGGAAAAGGAAATAGTGGAATAGTACCCACACCCGGGAGTGCCATCTGCTTGAATGTCTAGAGCCACTCTAGGAGAGACACCTGCAGACGGTTCACAGAGGGGAAACTGAGGCTCAGAGCACTCCAGAGTATGAGTGGCAACCCTAGGCAATTGCAGAGCCAACCCTGCCTCTTCCCCCATGGCCTCACCCCCCTTCCCCACGCCCCTTGCCCTTAGAGTCAGTGACCACATGGACCTGGGGCCTTCGGAGCTGGTGGGCCGCAGCTGCTACCAGTTTGTCCACGGACAGGATGCAGCCAGGATCCGCCAAAGCCACCTGGACCGTGAGAACCCCTCCCTCCCCCTGCCAGATGCCACCCCAGACCTCAGTACCCCCAGTGCCCACTCCCTAGACGTCTTGCTGCAGGGATGACCACAGTCCCTCCTGTTACTAACTCCAGGGGCTCAACTCAGCACAGAAGGGCAACAAGGAGCTCTGAGCAGAGGGTCAGATGTGGGGTGGGAGCAGGGGTGGCTGCGGGGCCTCTCTGACCCACCCTAAAAAATATAGGTGCTGCGTTACTTCGAGGTCTTTGACTCCAGCTCTCTGTCTCCATCTGTACTGTTGCCTTTCTCTTCTCCCCACCATCTCCTCCTTTGTTTCCCTCACACCCTTTCTCTCCCTGCACCTGTCTCCCCATCTCCCCATCGCTCTCTGCACCTGCCTCCCCATCGCTCTCTGCACCTGCCTCCCCATCTCCCCGCACCTGTCTCCCCATCTCCCCGCACCTGTCTCCCCATCTCCCTTCACCTGTCTCCCCATCGCTCTCTGCACCTGTCTCCCCATCTCCCTGCACCTGTCTCCCCATCTCCCTTCACCTGTCTCCCCATCGCTCTCTGCACCTGCCTCCCCATCTCCCCGCACCTGTCTCCCCATCTCCCCGCACCTGTCTCCCCATCGCTCCCTGCACCTGTCTCCCCATCGCTCCCTGCACCTGTCTCCCCATCTCCCTGCACCTGTCTCCCCATCTCCCCGCACCTGTCTCCCCATCTCCCCGCACCTGTCTCCCCATCTCCCCGCACCTGTCTCCCCATCTCCCTGCACCTGTCTCCCCATCGCTCTCTGCACCTGTCTCCCCATCGCTCCCCGCACCTGTCTCCCCATCTCCCTGCACCTGTCTTCTCATCCTTCTCTGCACCTGTCTCCCCATCTCCCTGCACCTGTCTCCCCATCCTTCTCTGCATCTATCTTCCCTGTCCCTCTGCACCTGTCTCCCTCTCCCTTTACCTCTGCTGTCCATCTGACTTCTCTCCCTTTACCTATCTACCTGTCCTCCTGTCTCACCCCCATCCCTTCTGGTCCCTCCGTCCCTGGGCTGGGCCCAGTGCTGGACAAGGGCCAGGTGATGACTGGGTACTACCGCTGGCTGCAGCGTGCTGGGGGCTTTGTGTGGCTGCAGTCCGTGGCCACCGTGGCTGTGAGCGGGAAGAGCCCTGGGGAGCGCCATGTGCTGTGGGTCAGCCACGTGCTCAGGTGAGGTTGCACCCCATCTGTCCCACAAGGGCTGGAACCCACTCCAGAAGCCTCTGCTGCCTCTCCCCACCTCGGGGTGGGGGCTTTTCAGAGGACCTCTGGAAGGAAAGAAGCCCCGAGGGGGTTGAAAACAGGACGGGGAATGGGGGACAGAGAGCAAAGGCCTGGAAGTGGAATGTCCCTGCTGCAGGAGGGAGGGAGGAGTGGGGAGCGGATGACAGTATCTTCTAGTGAGGCCGGTCTGAAGCGGTCTCAGGCCCTGATCCTGGGGCACTGGAGAGCCATGGCAGAGTTTAGAGCTGGAGAGGGTCACAGTCGAATCTGTTCTTTGGAAAGACCCCTCTGGCTGCTGTGAAGGAGGAGGTCTGAGGGGCAAGATGGGCGAGGAGACCAGGGAGGAGGCTGGGGCAGGTCCTAGGACACGCCAGGCAATGCAGGTGGAGGGGACAGGTGGCCACCTGCCACCGCCCAGGTCTGTCTCTGCTGGGCCTGGATCCGGGCCCAAGAGGAGCAGCAATGCAAAAGGAAGACACAGGTCAGTTGAGCACGAGGTCTCTGGGGGACACCTCGGTAGTGACATCCAGGAGCCATGGGCTGCACCGGTCTGGCCTCAGGAGATGGGGCCAAGCTGGGCTAGAAGCCAACCTGGAGTCCGGGCTCCTGTCATGAGGCATAGTGCTTCCAGGTGGGGACACTACACTCCCTGGGATGGCGGGTGTTCCACACTCAGAGGGGGAGGGGAAGTCTTACTCCCCAGACTGGGGGATAGAAGGGAGTCTGCCCTCTCTCAGGAACCCTGGCTCTCAACCCCACCTCTCTTATCCCAGCCAAGCCGAGGGTGGCCAGACACCTCTGGACGCCTTCCAGCTTCCAGCCAGCGCGGCCCGTGAGGATGTGTCCAGCCCAGAGCCCGCAGGTGAGCCCTGCCCCCTGCCCCGACCCCGGGGGGCTGAGCGACCCCTGGGACCTGGACTGCCCAGTCCAGAAGCCACTAGCCACATATGGCTGGCTACTTACATTAAAATTAAAAATTCAGGTCCTCGGTTGTACTGACCACATGCCGAGCGCTCTGTAGCCACGAGCAGACCGTGGCCGAGGCGTTGTATGGCGCAGATGAGGCCCGTTCCCGCCGCCGAGGACAGTTCTGTTGGCCCCAGGCTCGGCCAGGGTTTCTCGGTCCCACTCCTTTGTGTGGGGGGCTGGCCTGTGCATTGTAGGGTACTGAGCAGCATCCCCGACCTCTGCCCACTAGATGCCAGGAGCAGCCTCCTCCCCAGCTGTGACAACTAAGAAATGTCTCCAGATAGTGCCAGATGTCTGTCCCCTGGGGAAAAGCCACCCTAGCGGAGACCTGCTGAGCTCAGCTTCATTCCAGAGAGGGACAGACTGAGGGCTGAGGGTGCACACAGAGTCCTTCAAACTCTTCTTCCAGAGCCAGCGCCTCCAGCGCAAGGGAAGCAGGTTGCCCCGCTGGACAAGGACGAGGCCCCCCAGACCCAGGGCAAATGCATCAAAGTGGAGCCTGGCCAGGCGGAGACAAAAGACCTGGAGGACAGCGGAGATGAGGAGCCAGCTGGCCACCCAACCCCGCCGCGGCACGAGTTCACGTCTGTCATCCGAGCAGGGGCCCTGAAGCAGGACCTCGTGCGGCCATGGGGCCTGGTGGCTCCTGGGGACACCCCACCTTCCCTGCTCCATGCAGGCTTCCTGCCCCCCGTCATGCGGGGCCTGTGCACGCCTAGCACCATCCGCTATGGCCCCACGGAGCTGGGCCTCATGTACCCACATCTGCAGAGGCTGGGCCCGGGCCCCACCTTCCCGGAGGCCTTCTACCCACCCCTGGGCCTGCCCTACCCAGGGCCCCCAGGCACGAGGGTGCAGCGGAAGGGGGACTGATCTACCTACAGAGCTGGACCCTGGGGGATGGGTACAGGTCCCTAAGGGAGCAGGGGCAGGACTCTAAGAATTAAAGACCTGCTCCCCATCTGTGGCTCAGTCTCTGGAACTGTGGAGATCCCCTCTCCTTCCTTCTACCCCTCCCCCAGCCCCTGCAGGCCCCACCTTCCCCTGTCACAGGAACCACCACTTGGAGCGAGCGAAGGGTCAGGTTTTAATGTCCTGGTCCGGGGACCCAGGCCGTCCAGCACCCAGCCATTCCCCGCAGCCCTGCTGCTCACTCCGGCGGTGGCCGGCCTGCTTCATCCGGGCCTTCCGCAGCGGCCGTCCCATCGTCCTCAGGCACCAGTTCCACGTCCAGCTCCAGCTGGCCCATGTAGAGGCCAACAGCACAGGCCCAGAGCAGGCCAGCGGCCAGCACGGCACCCACGCCCGCGGCCGCGCCCCCCAGCGAGAGCTGCATGGGTCCCCGCAGTGATGCCAGGCCCACCACGTAGGAGGCGCCGCCCCACACCACGCACAGGCCACCCAGAAGGAAGAAGCCTGTGGGGGAGGATAAAGGCCAGGGTCAGTGGAGGGGAGGGCCTGGGGTCCTGGGCTGGGGGTCAGCATCAGGGAGGCAGATCCTGGAGATGGGGGTGGGGTCAGGGGACTGAGGTAGACTTAGAGGGGGATGGGACAAACTCAAGGGGAGAGCAAGGGTCAAGGGTAGTACAGAGCCAAGGTCAAGAACTTGGAGGTGGGGTCCAGGATCAGAGGAGGGGTGGAGGGCTGGTCTGAGAGCAAAACAGGGTTGGAGGGGCAGTGGCCGGGACTAGGACCCTCATCTCTGTTGAGAAGTCAGATTGGAGGGGCAGACCAACAACCATGCCCTGGGCCATCCACTCTGGTGGGTCCAGTGCCCATACGGTGGGGGTAGGATGGGTGCGGGGAAGGTTGACAAAGGGTGCGATGGCTTCTGGTGGGGGAAGAATGAGGGGTTCTACACTTACTGTAGGGGGGAATGAGGCAGGCGGGAATCTACACTCACCAGGGAGGGGGCTCTACATTCCCAAGTGCGGAGGTGGAGGTGGGCACCCACACTCCCTGGGGGGGGCAAGAGTGGAGGTCTGCACTCACCATAGGCAGCTTCCCGACCCATGTCACTCTGCATGAAGGAGATGACCCCAATGCCCGATGCCAGGAGGCCATTTCGAAACCAGGAGAGGAAGGCTTGAAGGGAGGGGGAGATGGGAGAGAATCAGCACCAGCCCAAACCCTGTCCCCCAAAGCCCCTCGGCCCAGACAGTCAAACTGAGGGGCTTGTAGCCCCCCCCCCCCTTATCCTGCTCCAAATTCTCATCATGTCTTGGCGCCTCCCCTCACTTAACCCTATCCCCTCAAACCCTCTCCCGTCTGTATCTCCAAACTCTGCAATACCTAATATTCTGGACAGTCTGCAGAATCTGGAGAATGATCTAGAACCAAAATTGCAGAACCTAAATCTAAGGACAGGTAGACCCCAAGAGATCATCTTGGTCAACCCCCTCCCACATGGGCTGTCCTCTCACTTCTCAGACCTCCTGGCACAAACTGTCCCCCCACCTCAGCCTTGATGTCACTCCCACCCGTTCAAGTCCCTGGAGTGGTGCTAGAGGGCTACTTGGGTTACAAACGACCCAACCCTACATCATCCTCTATCTAGATGCCCTGTCCTCTCCAAACTTGACATAAGACCCCGCCCCCTGCAGCCTGGATCACCTCGCCCTCCAATCAGCCCATAGCTTTTCTTCTACTGGTTGCTCCCTCCTCCAATCAGGAACTTGCCACTCTTCTGTGGGGATCCACACTCCCGCCTAATGCGGGGTGGTCGCCTCTTCAATCCGAACTGGCCTCTCCAACGCGGACCCCTCCTGTGGACAACTCCCCCGCCCTTAGCCCTCTTAGGAAGCCTCTCTCGTCCCGCAGCACAATTCCAGCAGGCTGCCCGTTCTAGCCCGACCAGCCTCCGATCCCTACTGCACCCCACGAACCCGTCCCATCCGCAAGCCCTTCTATGCGGACACACTGCGCTCTGGCAGCCAGCGCTTCCCTGCGCGTAGACGGAAGCCCTTTCCCCCGCGAGCTCGGGCCCTGTTTCCAGCAGAGGCCCCACCCCCATCTCCCACGCGCGGCGCGGACAGCTCGGCCACCCGAACCCGTCTGTCAGCCGCGCCGACCCTCGCCCCAGCCCCAGACCTGTCTCATGCGCCTTTCGGAGGAGCCAGGCGTCCGCGCGGTCCAGCTCTGACACGGGGAGCGGCGAAGCCCCGGCTCGGGGGCTGTGGCCGGGGGCGAAGGAGCCCCGGGCGCCCCCGCTCCGGGGCCGCGGAGGAGGCAGCAGCGCCCCCCCGAAGCGTATTCGGGCCAGGCCGGCGGCCCGAGCCCACCACCAGCCGCCTCCCATGGTTCGCACTACGGCCGCCGCGCACCGCCCGCCTCACAAGCCGCCTGTAGGCTAGAACACACGTCACTCACACTTAGAGGCTCTTCCACTAGTTCTGTGCGCGTCACTCAGTTCCAGTGCGCACCGTCCATTGGTCAGAATGGCAGCAACTCCCTCCTCTGTCATCTGTGCCGGTATTAGGCGTCCCACCTTACTCCAGCTGCTGGACTACGAATCCCAGCCAACACTGTGCCCGGAGAAGGCGGGTTTTCAGAAGCCGGCGGAGCGATGTCTGCCGGGACTTGTAGTTTTTGTTAATAACACTAATTGCAAAAACAACTCAAAATTCTTAATAGAGAACTTTTGTAAAGTCTGGAAGATACCAGACGATAAAGTAAAATTCACCATAAACCCCTGAGTGGTTACTGTTATATTTTGTTATATTCCTGTCCTTTTTTTTATGCAGATGTAAAATAAGATGCTCTTCAACAAATTAACTCTTTTTCACATAATAAATCGTGAACATTGACCGGTGGTGTTGATTATTTCTCCATAGCATAATTTCTAAAAATATATCTATTTTGAATGTGGGACAAGGTGGAAAAGTTACAAAAGTGTCTAATAAAAAGTAATTACCTTCTGTAGCCGGGTAGCTCAGTTGGTTAGAGCGTCAGCCCCATACGCCAACCTTGCGGGTTCCACCGGGGTTAGGCCATATACAAGAATCAACCAATGAATGCATGAATAAGTGGGACAACAAATCTCTTTCTCTCTCTCCACCTCTCTCTCTCTCTCTCTCTCTCTCTCTCTCTCTCTCTCTCGACCTCCCCATTCCTCCCTCTCTAATATAAATAGTTTTCTTTTTTAAAAAGCAATTCACACTCCATGCCCCAGCCAGCCAGTTCCCATGCCCTGTCCCACAGAACCAAGTTTATAAGGATGTAACACAAGTGACTATGCCTTAAGTTGTTGCAAATGTCCCTGCTATAAGCTATTGTCATTTCATTGTAGGTGTGAGCCTATGTCTGAGCCCCGGCGGACCGGATCCCACTGCTAAATTTCAGCCTCCAGCTTCTGCTTCTGGGTCCACACATAGCTTTATAGATCCCTTGTCTGCTCAGTGGTTAGAGCGTCCGGGGGCACACCGAAGGGTAGCAGGTTTAGTTGCTGGTCAAAGACATGTTCCTGGGCTACAGGTTTGATCCCCGCCAATTGGGGCCTGCTGAAGGCAACCAATTGAACATCAGTGTTTCTCTATATATATATATATCTCCCTCTCTCCCTCCCACTCTTTCTAAAAATTGATGGAAAAAATATCCTTGGGTGAGAATTAATTTAAAAAAAAAATCAAAGTCATTTTTTAATCAGCAAAAATAGGTTTATCCGTGGATATTAAAGAATTGCAATTCGGATCCAGCAAGATATAGAAAAACCACAGGCAAATCCAACAAAGTAGAAAAATATTAACTTAAGAGAAAAAGGAAGAGGTTGGGAAATCCATTGGAGAAAAACAAGAGTTCTAGGAGATGACAGTTTCTCATTGACTGAGCTAATGGGGCAGTCAATTTCTTCTAGGAGATGCAATGTACACCTTATCCTGTCTGGGCTTATAACTGATGATTCTTTCCTATTGACTTTTTTTTTCTGTTGGGTCCTGTCTGTAATTGACAATTCTTCCTGTAATTGACATCGAGGTACTGTGTGAGGGCTCCCCCTTCTGGACTCCCAATTTTATTTTAGTTAGGTTTTCCTGTATTAATTTTCACACTCCTTACTTACACTGTGTCATGCTCTCTATATTTATCTGTCTCTGCCATCAGTCTATCAGCTTCCAATGGACCTAGTCCTTCATTGACTCATCTCCATGTCCCCCCACCCAATATAAGTAGGGGACTTGGTAAATAATAATAGCAAACATTCACTAATGGCTTTCTCTGTGTCAGGAATTATGCTAGGTGCATTATGTTCATAATGTCATTTATTTTACTTTTTTGTTGATCCTCACCCGAGGATATTTTTTCATTGATTTTTAGAGAGAGAGGAAGAACGGGAGGGAGAGAGAGAGAAACATCGATCTCTCACATCGACTGGTTGCCCCCTGCACAACCCCGATCTGAACCAGGTATCAAACCTGCAACCCAGGTAGTGCCCTTGCTGGAAATCAAACCCAAGACCCTTTGGTCTGCAGGCCGATGCTTTAACCGCCAAGCCAAACCAGCCAGGGCCTCAGAATATTTTAAATGAGTATCCGCTGAGGCCTCTCCTTAAATAAACCCTTCCATAGCTGTCCATCCTGCTGGCCCAGGCCCCTTGACCTCTGCCTCTTCATCTCCTGCAGAGAAGAGCTTGCATTTTATGGAGGGGGAAACAGGTTAGGGAGCTATGGATGGGGTTACATTTGGGGAGGGAGTTCCAATGGGCTGTAATAGTGTGCCTGCTAGCAACAGATACTAAGCATTAAATGGGATTAAAGTGGAAAGTGAAAATATTTGAGACACATTGTTCACATTCTTGGTTGATGAAATGGTTTAGGCTGAGGGGAGGGGTGGTGGAATGGAATGCCAGCAAGGGTCAGGGCAGATAAAACAAATCCTCCTTAAAGAGACAGATCTGCCCGGCTGGTGTGGCTCAGTGGTTGAGTGTCAACCCACGCGCCCAGAGGTTGCTGGTTCCATTCCTGGTCAGGGCACATGCCCAGGTTGTGAGCCCGATCCCCAGTGGGGGGCATGCAGGAGGCGGCCAATCAATGTTCTCTCTCATTGACGTCTCTATTTCTCTCTCCCTCTCCCTTCCTCTCTCTCTAAAAATCAATAAATAATTAAAAAAAGAGAGAGAGAGACAGAGACAGCTCTTAACGCTGGCCAGATGCCTGACCACCAATCATCAAGAACTTGAACAACGCCCTGGCTGGTTTGGCTCAGCGGTTGGAGCATCAGCCTGCGGTACAGAGAGACCCGGGTTCGGTTCCCGCTAAGGGCATGTACCTCGGTTGCAGTTTGTCCCCGGCCCTGGTTGGTCGTGCGGGTGGCAGCCACTCGATGTGTCCCTTTCACGTTGATGTTTCTGTCTCTCTCTCTTCCTCTTTCTCCCTCCCACTCTATCTGAACAAAAAAAAAAGAACTTGAACAAAGTACTAACAATGCTCAGCCCCATCCCAGACCAGCGCAGTCAGTAAGTGACCAGACATTGGTATATTCTTTTCCAATAAATATATTTGTTATATTTGTATTTGCCACAAGAAAGAAATGATAATTATGTGACACGATGAAGGTGTTAACTAAATCTACAGTGGTAATCATGTTGCAATATATACTTGTAAATAGATATGATCAACACTTTGTACAGTTTAAACGTATACAATGGTATATAGGTTGATTTAAAATGCATTTTATCAAGAGCTCATCAGATGTCAGGGGTGGTTCCAACAACTGTAGACACAAGTGAACCAAAGAGATAAATGAGCAGCTTTTGGGGCAGGACATTTTGGAGCGAGAAGGGAAGGACAATGTCAAACTGTGTCATCCACAGATCAGATGTCTATTCAGGCTGTCCTTTAATTACTTACACGGAAGTCTAGCGTTTTCTCTGAACAGGTGTTCACAGCCGTTCCCTCCGCACCCTCTGTTCGGCCCTGACCAAGCCGCGCTGAGGCGGTTCTCCTCCCCAGAGCCTGGACTATGCACCGCCTGATGCCTCCCTTCAACCAGCACTGAGTTGAAACATGCCTCCTTGTCAGTTTCTCTGGGGAGACACATTTCCTGTGAACCACACTGGTCAGTTACTTAACTTCCCCATTATCTACCCAACTTGTTCTTACTGCAAACCTCTCTTACCACAGAAAAGCAATGCCTTTTTCTGTTCGAGTGTGAGATGCTTGCAGATATCTGAGGAGCCTGCTCCCTACCGCAATGGTCTTTTTGAATAAGGTTTCTCCTTATCTCAGCTTGGATTTTAAAATATATATATATATTTTAATTGATTTGAGAGAGAGGAAGGGAGAGGGAGAGACAGAAACATCGATGGGAGAAACACTGATCATCTACCTCCTGCACACCCCCTACTGGCGATCAAGCCCAAAACCTGGGCATGTGCCCAGACCCTGAATCGGACCAAAAACATCCTGGTGCACAGGGCGACGCCCAACCAACTGAGCCACACCGGGACGGGCAGTCTGGATGGTTTTTTTTTTTTTATCCTCACCCGAGGACATTTTTTTATTTTTGTTCAGATAGAGTGGGAGGGAGAGAGAGGAAGAGAGAGACAGACAGAGAGAGAGAGAAACATTGATGTGAAAGGGACACATCGAGTGGCTGCCACCTGCACGACCAACCAGGGCCGGGGACAAACGGCAACCAAGGTACGTGCCCTTAGTGGGAACCGAACCCAGGTCTCTCTGGACCGCAGACCGACGCTCCAACCACTGAGCCAAACTGGCCAGGGCTAAAGAATTATTATTTTTTATTTTTTTATTTATTTTTATCCTCACCCAAGGACATTTTTCCATTTTTTGTTTAGGTAGAGTGGGAGGGAGAGAGAGGAACAGAGAGAGAGAGAGAAACATCGATGTGAAAGGGACACACTGAGTGGCTGCCACCCGCACAACCGACCAGGGCCGGGGACAAACTGCAAGCGAGGTACATGCCCTTAGCGGGAACCGAACCCGGGTCTCTTTGGACCGTAGGCTGACGCTCTAACCGCTGAGCCAAACCGACCAGGGCATGGATGTTTTTACTTCACATCTCCATAGAGTACTCGTGGGTTCTTTATTAGGTTAATTCCTAGATTCCTTATACCTTTGATCACTTTGGGGAAGATTATCTGATTTTCTGTTAACTTCCCAAATGGTTATAGAAGAATGCTACAGATTTTATCCTCACCCGAGGACATTTTTCAATATTTTGTTCAGGTAGAGTGGGAGGGAGAGAGAGAGAGAGAAACATCGACGTGAAAGGGACACATCGAGTGGCTGCCACCCACACGACCCAACCAGGGCCGGGGACAAACTGCAACCGAGGTACGCGCCCTTAGCGGGAACCGAACCCGGGTCTCTCTGGACCGCAGGCCGACGCTCTAACCGCTGAGCCAAACCGGCCAGGGCAATGCTACAGATTTAAAAAATTGAGATATAATTCACATACCATGAAATCCACCTTTTTAAAGCGTACAATCTGCCCTGGCCAGTTTTGCTCAGCGGTTAGAGCGTCGGCCTGCAGACCAGAGAGTCCTGGGTTCAGTTCCCGCTAAGGGCATGTACCACCAAAAATAAATAAATAAATAAAATAAAGTGTACAATTCAATGGTTTTCAGTATAGTCACAAGGCTGTGCCACCACCTAACACCAGAATATTTTATTATCCCCCAAAGAAACCTCATCCCACTAGCAGTCACTCCCCATACCTGCTCCCCTCCCCAGGCCCTGGCAACCCTTAATTTACTTTCTATTGCTGTGGATTTGCTGATTCTGGACATTTCATAGGGAAATTGAATTATAAAGTATGAGGCCTGGCCCTGGCCAGTTTGGCTCAGCGGTTAGAGCATCGGCCTGCGGTCCGGAGAGACCCGGGTTCGGTTCCCGCTAAGGGCACGTACCTCGGTTGCAGTTTGTCCCCGGCCCTGGTTGGTCGTGCGGGTGGCAGCCACTCCATGTGTCTCTCTCACATCGATGTTCCTCTCTCTCTTTTCCTTGCTCTCCCTCCCACTCTATCTGAACAAAAAATGGAAAAACATCCTCGGGAGAGGATTAGAGAGAGAGAGAGAGAGATCCCGGAGAGTTCCTTTCCTGCTTCTGCACTTGGCTGGGGTGAAGGCTGGAAGGGGCTCCAGCCGTGTCGTAACCCGGAGGGGTGCTGCTGGTACGCCAAGGCCAGCAGTATGGAAAGATGGTCTAAATAACAGATAATTCAGGTGAATTTGGAGTTCACTGCGACTCTACCAACCCTGGAGCTGCCCTGTGGGCGTTCTTACCTGAGACGTCGGACTCCTTCCTGGCTGATAAGCCACCTAAATTGGAGTTCTGAGTTACAGGTGAAATCATCCTCACTCAATACCAAGATGGTGCTCTGAATTTCTGACAAATCTACATTTTACCTGCTTAGACTAGCAACCAGTGTAAAAACAAGGAGAACTCTTTTTGGAGAAATGTTTGGGGATCCCAATTAAAGGGCAGAATGCCCTCCCTCCAGATGTCCATAACTCAATTCCCAGAACCCATCAATATGTAATTCACATGGCAAATGGGACTTTGCCGATGTGATTAAGGATCTTGAGATGGGAGAGTCCCCAATCTGATCACTTAGATCTTTTTTTTTTATCCTCACCCGCATGACCAACCAGGGCTGGGGACAAACTGCAACCGAGGTACATACCCTTAGCGGGAACCGAACCCAGGTCTCTCTAAACCGCAGGCTGACGCTCTAACTGCTGAGCCAAACAGGCCAGGGCCACTTAGATCCTTAAAAGCAGAGAACCTTTCTGGCTGTGGTCAGGGCCATGTGACATTGCTTGGCTTTGAAGATGGAGGCAGAGCAGAGCGCCCTTGGCCTAGGAAGGGGCCTCCAGAAGCTGGAAACACAATCTCTCTGTCCTTCCAGAAAGGAATGCAGCCCTGGCAACAGTTTGATTTTAGCCCAGTGAGACCCACGTCACACTTGTGACCTCCAGAACTGCAACACATTTGCTTTAAGCCACTAAGTTTGTAAATTTGTACAGCGGCCATGGAAAACTGAGAGGTCCATTGGAACACAGAAACCAAAGTAAGTCCAAGGGAGATAGGTTCAGTCCCGCTTGCCCATCACACCCTCCCCGAGTGTGGCTTCCTCAGGTAAGACCCCCGGTTAGGGAGCGGGTGGTATCGGAGTCGGTTCGGGCTGCTCTAACAAAATGGCCCAGTTCTGGAGGCTGGAAGTCCAAGCTCAAGGTGCCAGGTTTGGGCTGGTGAGAGCCACTTCCTAATTCACAGATGGCTGCATTCACCTGGTGCACAGAGGACAGGCGGAGACAGCTGTGGGGGTCTCTTTTATAAGGATACTAATTCCATCCATGAGGGCCCCATGCTCCTGATCTAATCCCCGCCTAATACCATCACAATGGAGAATAGGTTTCAGCATATTACATTTTTTTTCTTTATTCATCTTTAGAGAAAGAGGAAGGGAGGGGGAAACAAACATCGATGAATGGGAACATCGATTGGCCGCCTCCTGCATGTCCCCCACTGGGGATCGGGCCCACAACCTGGGCAGGTGCCCTGACTGGGAATTGAACCCGCAACCTCTTGATGCATGGGTCGACGCTCAACCACTGAGCCACACTGGCTGGGCCAGCATATTAATTTTGAGGGGACACAAACATCCTGTCTTTAGTAGTGAGGGCTCCAGCTCCTCCTCATCCCTAGAGCCAGCCCCGTTGTCCCGTGAGTGGTATGCAGGCAGGACTGTGCCCGAGTGGGTCACCGCTGTATCTCTGCTGAACAGGAGCTTGGGAACTGTGGGATGAAGTCAGACTGTTTGGAGGCACCATTCCCATAGTGTCATCATAAATGTCACCCTGGGGCGGGCCACCAAGAAAACAGATGCGGGTTTGACCCCCCACCCTGGGGCTATCCCCCACCCTTCTGGTTAGTCCCAGGGCATGGCATGGCAGTAGACACGAGACCCACAGGTTTTTTAAAATAACTGCATCCTTTAATGGCAGTAATACAATTATTGGATTAAGAGACCACAGGAGAAAGGGCAGGTGACGCTTCTGGAAGACAGATACAGAGTACAAAAAGGACAAAAAGGGGGCGGAATAGAGGCATGCGACGATCATTGTAAAAATACAGTACGTTATATACATATTTGCACCATCAACTTTCTGAAATAGTATTTACACTTTTGTTACAATCCTGGTTAGAGAACAATTTTTCTTTAAAAGCTTGGCCTGATGGCAAATGAAAATTTTGGGTAAATTCATAGTCCCATGAGGTTCTTAGGCTGAATATCAAGGAGGGCTCCAGCTTCTATTTCATCCACAAATTTGTTTTAAAAAAGTATTTAATTTGCTTGTACAAAAGAAAATCCTCAGAGAAGAAAGAGAAATCTACAGCCACACTCTTACTGTACACACACCGCGGGCTGCAGCCCTCTGCTCAGGCCAACACTGGTGGCTGAAGAACAACCTCACAAATGTTAAAAAAAGAAAAAAAAAAAGACACAAGGACAAACCAAACCAACCTGATCACGGTGCACTGACCCTGTGGGGCTGCCTCTCTGGCCCTTGCTTCTGGCCCCAAACCCCACTGTTTTGTTCTGGGGAGAGGGGTATGGCGTGCCAGCCTTGTTCACCTCCCACCCCAAGGTGCAGCGAGGGGAACCCTTTGGCTGGGTCACCAGGTTTCCTCATTATTAGCAAGGGAGAGGCAGAGGCTTTAAGCGAGGTGGCTGATGCGGTGGGAGGGACCCCCCTGCTCCCCAGGCCTCACCCAGTCTCCCCAGGCCATGTCCATGGGGTGGGTCTTGTCTGGAGCCCTGTGGACAGGGTTGGACCTGAGCCGTGGTCCTGGGGGAAGCTGGGGCCGATTCCTCTGCTCCCTCCCCGGCTCAGCGGGCTGAGGGGAACAGGAGGACTTAGTTTCCGGTCCCACATCCCCACCTGCAGGGAGGGGTCCCTGTCCTTCTCCTGGAGAGGGCCCAGCAGCCCCCACCCCCCTGCTATGGCTACTCTCCAGCTCTCCCCTTAGGCCCTTCTGATGGAAGCGCCCACTAATCCAACAACCTGACACGCCTCTAAACTTGTACACCTGTTGCTTAGAAGGAAACCAAACACACTGAAACCACAGGCCCTACGGATACGGTGCAAGGAGGGGCAAAGAAAGGGGAGAGCAGAAACTTTGCCAAGACCCAGCCAGGACTCCTCTATCAGGAGCCTGGTGGAGCGGCCACACCACGGATCCTTGAGCTGTCCCCAGAGGGCTAGCACACGGGGCGCTCTGGCTTCTGAGGACCAGGACAGCCCCTGGCATGAGGGGAGAAGGGCGTGGCCGTTCACAGGACAGGGGAGGAGCTAATACTGACAGAAAACACTCGATCTGTGGTGCTGCTTCCTGGAAGCAGCTTGGGGGACCTGCCCCACACCAGCCCCGCCGCCCCAGGTCCATCTCACCCTGGAGTCTTCTGAAGAGGGCCTGAGGTGTGGGGTCAAGGGTGAACTCTGGACGGACGGTGATGGGAGAACCAGATTCCACGTGTGACTCTAAATGGAGTGGCGGCAGGAAAGGGCTGTTTCTTCCAGTCTAGGCGGCCCCCGGGGCTCTTTTCCTCTTTCTGCGATGCCTTTTCACTCCCACTGGCCCCGGATCGGGTCCTGTCCCGGTCTTGGCTCCATCTCGCCTCCTCGTGCAACACGGGTTCAGTGCCTTCTCAACACCGACTGTGTCCCTTTGTCCTACGGGAGGTGGGTGGTGGCGGGGGGTGGGTAGGAGGAGGGGCCAAGCTGTGCCCAGAAAACCACCGGACCCCCAGTCTTAAAGGAGTCCCTGAAAATCAGGCCAGCCAGGCAGAGTGCCAGCTGGTGACTTGCAAACTGTTCACGTGCACAAGTAGGTTTTCTTGGCAGAAGCCTGGGAGCCCTGCAACACTGACCAGAACTGAAGATGGTTATATACAATTTATATGTTTTAAAAAGAAAGTACTACTAAAAAAAAGTTGGGAGAGAGCGAGCAAAAGAAAAAAAAAAGAGAGAGGGAAAAAGTAAAGAAAGAACACCCAGTCCCCCTCCCTACAAGTTCCCAACTCTGGATGCTGCCCTTAAATACCACCCTAGGAAGGGCGAGGTGCAGGGGGAACTCCACTCCAGCTTAACACTACTGGCAAAAGGGGGAGGCAGTGGGGTCAAAGCCTTTAAAAACATCTTTCAGGGACCCTGCGTCCTGCTCGCCCTCACGGGCTGGGCTGTTGCCAGCAAACGGGCTACCGGAGCCCGTCTTAGGCGCCTGTTTCACGGTCCCAAAGAGGGTGGGCACGGGCAGGTTGTGCACGCCGGGCTGAGGTGGAGCGCCCTCTGGTGGCGGGGTGCCTGTGGTGGTGGCCGGGGCTGCAGCAGCCTTGGGCCGGGGCCGGTTGTAACTGTTGTATCTGTCCGTGGCTGTGGCTGAGCCCCCATCCGCACCCGACTTCCCCGATTCAGGCTGTTCCAGGGCAGACTTGCGGACGAACGGGGGCTCCTTGGCCTTGGCAGCCGAGCTCTTGCCGTTGCCCTCGGGGACCTTTGGCTGGGCAGCCACATCAGCAGCAGGCTCTGTGGCTTTACCACCGGAGTTGGGAGTCCTGGGGTCATAGAGGCTGATGCCACTCAGCACACTGCTCTGCCCACTCCCACTGCCCTGGCCCAGCCCACCAGCTGCCAGCACTCTAGGGTCATAGGGGGCGGTGGCGGGGGGAGAGGACTCCCCACTGGGGCTGCCAGCTGGAGGCGTTTCGGCAGAGCCAGGCTTGGCAGTGCGGGAAGCAGCAGCAGAGTCTGTTGGTTTCTGCAGCCGAGGGTCAGTGGGGGCCTTCCGCACCCGGGGGTCACTGGGCTTGTCGCTGGGGCTGGGGGCAGTGGAAGGGCCAGTGGCATTGACAGTCTTCAGAATGCGCGAGAGGAGCTCGAAGTCGGGCAGGCTGGAGCTAGACGAGCCAGGGTCCGTGGAGCTGCCTGGGCGCTGTCGAGGGTTTGGGGGGCCCGCAGTGGTGCCCCGATGCAGCCTGGGGTCCAGGGCAGGCAAGGACTGCAGGGCAGCAGGGACAGGGGGCACGTCCTGCTTGGGGATGGGCAGGGGGATCAGGTCCTCGGGGTTCCAGAGCACAGTGCGGGCGAAGCTCGGCTTGCTCAGGGTCACATCCTTCTTGATGTGGCTGAACTGCTGCAGCTGTGATCGCGGGTCCCGCAGCGGGTGCCCTGGGAGGGGGTCCAGGGGAATGTTCACAGCCTTCTCCCGCAGGGCCCGCTCCCCTTCCTCCTCTTCTGCAGGGGGTGGCCCGGACCCCTTGGAGCTGCTGGGGCCTGCCGGGCTGGAATGAAGGCCACCTTCGGGCTTGGGTACAGGCAGGGAGCGAGCCAGCCGAGGGTCAGAGGGCCCCGTGTCGCCTGGGCCTGACCCACTGGAAGTCTCAGCGTGGCGGGTGAGTCTGGGGTCCCGGCTGAGGCGGGGGTCAGCCAACCGGCCTCCTGTGGAGTTTCCCTTTTGGAGGCGGGGATCCCCCAGCCCACTGCTGCTCAGCTCCCCAATGGAAGCCTGGGGTCGGCTAGATGTCTGCTGTCTCAGGGTCTTAAGGATGGAGGTGACGCTGCTTCCACCCTCGTCCTCGTCGCTTGAATACCAGTTTCCAGTGTCACCTGAGAAAGAGCAGAGGAGCAGGGAGGGGGTGAATGGCCACCACATCTGCCACCAGCCCTCTTGGACCCCATGGCAGCCCGCTGGGTGAACGCCTCCTGTCTCTTACCTCTCAGAACCTCAGTCTCCTCTCTCCTGTCCCCACCACAAAGAGCCAGTGAGTTCTGGCCAGCAAAGTGCTGACCCTGGCAGGCTCCTGGCTGACATTTCGGGACCCTTCCCTGTGTGCCGGCACTGTGCTAAGTGCTTTGTCTTGTTAATTCTCACAACCACCCGGGAGGTAATGTTATTATCAGGCCCATTTGACAGATGAGAAAAGGGAGGCATGAATGGTGCCGAGATGGGGCAGAGCCAGGACTGAGCTGACTCCAAGCCTAGAGCGCCACCTCCTCATCCCCGGGGCGGGCCCAGGCCCCAATGTGGCAGCCTGTGAGCAGCTGCCACTGACTCAGTTCTCACTGCGCCTGGGGCTCACAGACACTTGCCCCCAGGCCCTCAAAATGTTACCATGTCCCAGGGAAGGGCAGTCATCGGCTAAGAGGCGGGGCCAGGTGGGCAGACACAGAAACTTGCCCAAGTTCAACCTCCTAGATAAAACCAGAGCTACCAGAGGAGGGCATTGCCCCCGCACCCCCTTGTACCCACTTGCTCCTGGACTCCTGTCAGGGCCACCTGTGGCCTCTGGCTTCAGATTCTAAACACAATTTGTCCTCCCCATTTCACCCTGGATGCCATCAGGTCACCGCAGCCCTATGAAACTTGGCAGCTGTGTGTAACTGTGATCATTACTGGTTACGTCAACGACCAGCTCTTGTCTGCTGGCTTCCTGAGAACATGGTTTGGGGCACGGGGGGCTGTAAGCATCTCCCCACAGCCTCCTCTGTAAGGGAGCAGAGGGTGAACTGAGTCGGCTGCTGTCTCCTTCAGGGACCAGCCCACCTCCCTCCTTAATAGATCAGGTCTCTCCCAACCCCCGATGCACAGAGGGCAGCCTGACTTCCAATCTTCTCAGACACATGTAGCAGCCAGCCCCAGCCTGACTGCACAGCCTGGGGCAGGGGTCCTCCCGATCTAGGTGTTCCCCATCTCTCCCCTGCATGGAGGCCCGGGGGGCCTGCCCCCGTCAGGGAAAGCCCCTGCCCCTGGGGAGGACACATGCCTTCCTCATTCTCCCGGTCCTGCTTGCTGCTCTCAGCCAGCCTCCTCGCTCTCTCCTCCTCCTCCTGCTGCTTCTGCTGGATCCTCAGGTACAGGGCCCTCTGGGCTGAGGGCAGGAAGTCGGGGACACCGGCGCCCGGCTTCGGCCGGCCTGCGGGCCCTCCCTCAGAGAAGCTGTCGGGCTCCAGAGGGTGCTCGGGGAAGAGGTGCTCCCCAGGCTCCCCTGGCAGCTCTTCGTAGTGCCCGTAGTCCTCTGTGGCAGGGAAGAACCGAGGGTTCGTGTCGGGAAGGGCCTCGAGGCGTCAACTCCAACCCACCCATGCCCTCAACTGGAGAACCACCCCTGATGGCAATGGCAATGGGTGAGAATGTGCAGCCTGTCCCTTCCTACCATCCCAGGATGGTCCCCACGGAAAGCCCAACAGCGGGGAACGGAGCAGCCAACCTAGGATGCAGCCAGGATGAGAACGGGGTTCACAGTGAGGTTTAGTGACATAGGCAAATGCTCATGACGTGAAAACAGGACGGACATTATACATGTTTGTAAAATTTAGAGAAAAGGCTTTGGAAAGACAGAAAACAGTCTCTCTAGGAATGAGATCTGGGAGACGGGCTAAGAGATCTTTTTACTTTTTACTCCACGTGCTCTGACCTGTTTTATTTATTTGCCATGAGCACTAGTTTTATGGTTTGTTTATAAATAATCAATAAAGAAAAACACTGTATCACACTGTGAGGTCATAACATGAGCCCTAACCACTGGGAGTGAGACTACTAAAGAAATGAAGGAAATACACTAAAATGATGCTGGGTGAAACAAGCCCATTAGAAAAATACAAGTATCACATGATCTCACTTACATGTGGAATCTAATGAACAAAAAAATTAACTGATGAACAAAATAGGTCCAGAGGCATGGATACATGGAACAGACTGACAGATCTCAGAGGGGAGGGGGTTGCGGGGGATGGGAAGAGATCAACCAAAGAACTTATATGCATATATGCACCATAACCCATGGACACAGACATAGTAGTGGGTGAAGGCCTGGGATGGGGCATGGACTGGGTGAAGGAGGGTAAAGGGGGTTAAATTGGGGACATCTGTAATACTCTCAACAATAAAAAAATTTTTAAAAATATACCAAAATGTTGCTGTGGCCACATGTTAACCCAGAAGCTCATGGGTGATTTCTCTTCCTACTTCCTCTGTGGGTTTCTGAACTCCGCGCATGTTTATGAGCACGCTGCTGCGTTTAAAGAGGAGGGCGCAGCGAACAATGTACCTGGAGACTGATTGTGTGTGTGTCCCTCTCTCAGAGATGGAGAATGCCCAATTAGCACGTTCTGCAATGATGAAATATGCCACACAGCCACCACTATCCTCATGGAGCTAGTGAGCAGCTGAAATGTGGCCAGTACCACCAAAACCATGAATCTGTAACTTAATGTATAGGATTAAAATAATGAAACGGGTTAATATTTCATATACAAAGCAGAAAGTGGAAGCCCACCTTCTTCTAGCCACTGAACTTTGTAACATGTGAACTTAAGAGGCAAGCCTGACCTATGCCACACCCTGGCTCGGGGCTGGGACACTCAGTAGACAGTCCCAGGCCTCCCTGCTTGGAACTCTTCATCAAGAATGACTCACTCGATGGTTGTGTACTTGTGAACATAGTAAGGCCTCACTAACATCATGGTAGGTTCTGTGACTTTAAGCAAAATATAATGAAACCAATTTTACCAAAGACTAATTGATATGAACAAGAGCTAAGTTCCTAGGGCACCTCACCCACATTAAAACAAAACGACACTGAACCAAACATTACTGGAGGACCTGCTGCGCACTAAAAACCACTGAACGGTAGGTACATTCTGTAAGACTTCCTGTCGTAGAAATTTAAGTGAATGACTCCAGGCCTACATGCTGTTAACAGCTTGACAGCCTTGCTTTCCCTTCTATACCCAGACCTTCTGCCACACACATTTTGTGTACATTTTTAAAGGTGGGAGGGGACAGTGGGAACATCACCCCTCAAGCAGCGTGTTTTTCTCACTTGAGAACATGTCACTCATATTTCTAAAGCCCCTGGTTCCTCGCCCCAAACTCCTGCTCTCGTGGCTTCAAATGCCATCTAGACGCCAAGGATGCTCACAATGACCTCCAGCCTGCTGGTCTCTCTCTGATATGCCTCAAACGCCTGCAGGGCTGTCAAATGGGCAGCTCACACTTACTGTGGCCAAAGCAGAAGCACTGCCCCCACCCAACTCGGCTCTCCAGCAGGGCTTCCCGGTCAGGGACAGGGTTGGTACCCACAGAGCAACTGTGCCCCACAGCCAGCACCCTGTCCACTCCTGTCTGCCTTGTAACACACATACGAGGAGTCACGTTGGCCCCATGGCACCATTTCCAAAGTGAGAAGCCAAGCCCTGCTTCTCTCTGCTACCTCCCAGCTCCCACCCAGCTCACCTCTGCCCATGACGATCCCACTCCACCCCTACCATCCACTGCCCTCGCTTTCCACGGAGTGTATTGTCACTCTTCCAATGGGGCCACCTTGCTATGGTGACAGAGTCACTACTGCATTGGGACTTCTTTCCCTTGTCCTCTCCTTCCAGGGCATACGCTGCCTTTGCTTTTCTTAAACAAGCTGACTGGCTGGGGCCTCCACCCCAGCTGTGCCTCCCACCTGGGCCGTGCGCCCAGTAGCTGCCTCCTTCCCTTCACGTCCCAACTCACTCCCAGTGGCATGGCCTCTGCCCCATGCCATCCAGACCCTCCCAGCCTGCCTTAGTCCCGTCCCTCTCCCACAGCACCCTGTAACTTCTGGCAATGATCAGTACTGAAATGAGCTTTTGTACTTATTTACACATTTCCTGCCTGTTTTCCTCTACTTAAACGCAGCTACAGCAAGGACAGAAGCTGCATCGCTGACTCTGATCCCAGGGCTGGATGGGCAGCCATGAGCACACCCATCCTTTCTGAAGGACGCACGCTACCTCCTATGGCCACATCGCCGCCACCAATACATGTTCTTATTTTAATAAGTAAGGAAGAAGAAAAGGAAGGAAGATGGTCAGATGTGGGGACAGAACAAGCAGAATCGAGAGGCTGCATTGGCAGCCTCCAGACAAGAACCAGCTGGAAGGAGGCTGCTTTGGTAAGGCCATTTCAGCCTCTTAGCCCAACACCATTCCTCACCTGCCTAAGTTTCTGTGCTCCCAATTCCAGAACGTCTAAGAGACTAAAATAACACCAAGCAAAATGTCTAAGATACTGAAATTATATTGATAACAACCATACTATTCCCTTCGGCCTCAACAGGGCATGACTCTGTCACGAAAAACATTCAACCACTCATGGGACAGAGATGGAGTTGGAATCATGCTTTCAAAGACGGGGAGAAGAGAGATCGAATCTTCCCTACTATGTTCTACTGTGTAAACCCAGCGGGCCCACCCGCACCCTGCATACCTGTGTCCCCCATGAGCCCCGGCTCCATCTCCATGCCTTCCTGCTGCTGGTAAAAGTTTTCATAGAAGTTCTGGGCTGGTGGGATGGGGGGCATCATTCCAGAATGTGGGGAGTCTCCAGGGCCATAGGGCATCATTGGGGGGCCACCAGGTCCCATGGGTGGGCCAGGGTTCATGCCAGGGCCCATCGGCATGTCGGGGTGCATGTCCGGGTGCATGTCCGGGTGCATGTCGGGGTGCATGTCCGGGTGCATGTCTGGGTGCATGTCAGGATGCATCGGACCACCCATTGGGCCCGGGGGTCCCATATTGGGCCCAGGGCCCATTGGCCCTGGGGGTCCTCCAGGTCCAGGGAACCTAGGAGAAGGAGAAAATGGTGCCTATGAGAGGGGCTGCAGAGGAAGGGAGGGTCACACCCCAAGGACACATGGAAGCCTCCACGTGGTGAGCCAACGGAGGGCTCTAGACCAGGCCTCCAGAACTTCTGGAGGAGTACGCTGCCTTGGCCGGGCTCACAGTGCCAGGCCCCAGCACTCACCTCACACCCAGTTTCTCAGCCAGCTGTCCCGTGGGCCGCACCACGATCTCAAACAAGGAGGGGATCTTCTTGTTGTACATGTCCTGCTGCTGCTGCAGCTGCTGTGGGGACAGCGGCTCATGCACTGGCATGGGCATCTGTGGGGGCCCAGGGGGCGGAGGAGGGGGTGGAGGTGGGGGTGGGGGACCACCCTGCATGGGCCTGCCATTTGGAGAGGTTGGGGCAGGGGGGCCAGGGGGCCGAGGAGGGGTGGGCAGGAGGCCCACACCAGGGGGTGGTTTGGGCAGGGGGTTGATGCCCTGCTTCTTCAGTTCCTCGACTTCCTTCTCGTCCTCGGCACCTGCTTCTGCATCATCAGCCAGCATCTGTGGGTGGGAAGGATGAAAGGGGGCGACAGTCAACGACAGGAGTTGGACTGCAGGGACCCCTTCCAGTGTTGAGAGCTAGATTCACTGAGGAAAACTCTGAATTACACGGACCCTGAGTGGAGCCCTTACAGTATTAGGCCAATGACCACGAAGCCTCTGGCACAAAAATCATCCCCCTCCCCACTGCCACGTCCCATGACCAGCAGGGCAGAGGGAGCCACTCCTGTCCTGCAGCAAAATAAATGTAACATAAAACGTACCATTTCACCATTTTAAAGTGTACGATTCAGCCCTGGCCGGTTTGGCTCAGCGGTTAGAGCGTCGGCCTGCGGTCCGGAGAGACCCAGGTTCAGTTCCCGCTAAGGGCACGTACTTTGGTTGCAGTTTGTCCCCGACCCTGGTTGGTCGTGTGGTGGCAGCCACTCGATGTGTCCCTTTCACATCGATGTTTCTCTCTCTCTCTCTCTTCCTCTCTCTCCCTCCCACTCTATCTGTACAAAAAATGGAAAAATGTCCTCGGGTGAGGATAAAAAAATAAATAAATAAATAAAGTGTACAATTCAATGGCATCAAGTACAGTCATGAAGTTGTCAAACATCACCTCTGTCTAGTTCTAGAACTTCCTATCACCCAAAAGAAGCCCCTTACCATAAGCAGTCACTCCCATTCCCCCTCCCTCCAGCCTCTGGCAGCCACTAATCTGTTTTCTCTCTCTAGAGATCTCAATTCCGGACAATCATAGAAATGGAATTCTGTAAGATAGGGTCTTTTGTGTCTGGCTTCTTTCACTCGGCATGATGTTTTCAAAGTTCATCCATGTTGAAGCATGTGTCATCTATTGTGGCTGGCTAATGCGGCACTGTCCTGTTTGGATTTTATAGGTCTCTCTGACCGGCCGGTGTGGCTCAGTGGATTGAACGTCGTCCCATGGACCGAGAAGTTCTGGTTCAATTCCCAGTCAGAGCACATACCAGGAGTTTCCGGCTCAATCCCTAGTAGGTGTGTGTGGGAGGCAAGCAAGCGATAGGTCCCGCTCTCTCTCTCTCTCTCCCTTAAAAATAAAAATATTAAAAATAAATAAAGGTCTCTCACTATACCTGCCATCAGACCTCCATGGGGCCTGACAGCAGGACTAGGTGCTGGGAAGGCAGCTTCATTTCCTTCCATGGTACCCCAGAAGCCTCAACCTAAGCACCCAGCCCCATGTCAGTCTGCCGATAGCCGAGCTCTCTCCCCTGCAGGGCCCAGCCTGGACCAGGATTCTCCCCAGGAACTGATTTTCCCTCTACTCCTAACTGTGTGGTCCATGTTCCCCACAGAAGGGTTCTTATTAAAGGTCAACAGGGTGACTGTCCTGGTCCCTGCATTCAATACTGAATGCCATTAGCTCCCTTCACAGCACTGCTCAAGCTCTGTAAAATCACATGTTTTGTTGTATCCTGATTTATTCCTGGCTCACCCAAAGACTGGTAACTCCATGAAGGTGGGACTGTTTTATATCTTGAGGTACCCTCAGGGCTTAGCATAGGGTAGACAACTTCAAAGTCTGAATTTGAGCAGGAGGAGGCCTGACTGCTCTCCTTGGAAAGCCCTGCAATGTTAGCCTTCAGTGTCTGGGAACCCGACTGTGCCTAATCTCTACAATGTCTTTCTGCTGGCCACACTCACTTCCTTCTGGGAGTCTGAATGCTGGCCCCTGCAGGCAGAGGCTCCCTATATGACCAGACCCCAGTAAAAGCCCTGGGCCCTGAGCCCCACATGTAGGTCCACCCAGGGATGGTGGGGATGCAGGTGGCAGAGGTAGAACCTCCTGGCAGGGGGCAGGCAGTTCTAGGCTTTTCTCTCTCCTTATGACCAGCAATGGTATCTGGACCCTTGGATTCAAGGGGATGAAAACCTTAAAGCTGACCAGTGGAAAACATGTGTACACTCAAGGTGTGGCCTGTGTGTGGACCAGCAGCAAAGGGGAACCTGCTGAATCAGAACTTTTTTTTAAACCTCACCTGAGGACATTTTTGCATTCATCTTCAGATAGAGCAGGAAGGAGAGAGGGAGGAAGGAAGAGAGAGAGAAACATCGATGTGAGAGAGACACATCGAGTGGTTGCCACGCACACGACCCCAACTGAGGCCTGGGACAAACTGCAACCGAGGTATGTGCCCTTAGCGGGAACCGAACCAGAGACTCTCTGGTCCACAGGCCGACGCTCTAACCACTGAGCCAAACCAGCCAGGGCCAGAAACACATTTTAACATGTGCCCACTGCAGTGTGGAAAACTGCCCATGCTGGGGGGAGCCCAGGACCGTAGCGTCTTCTAGCACTGCTCTCAGTGGGGGCTGGGGCCCTCTGCTGCAATGCCCCCACAATCTGCTCACTTCTCCCTCCTGATGAGGCCCCTTTCAGTTCCTCTCCCAAGTGTGCAACTGTTGCTTGTTTTTCATCCCCTGCCCAACATATGCCTCCTTCTCTTTACTTCCTGCCTGCCAATCACCCAGGGACTGGCACAGTGTCAGTTCCTCAGTAAGCCTCCCCTGCATGTCGGCCTGCTGGGCTCCCTACATATTCTCTCTTTGCCCCACTCCTGCCCAATGACTGGATCCTTTCTCTTCATCACTGCATCGTCAGTGCCCAGGACAGTGTCTGACAGCAACTAGGAACTGCCACATACTGGTGGATAAACGAGCAAGGAAAACACATGATAGGAGCAGGGGGGAGGTGGTGCGCAGGTGTACTTTCTGACCACAAAAATTCAATTCTAGAATGGTTTTTCTAGGTTCCACACTCTTGTTGTTTATCTTCCACTGATATTTTTAGAAAGAGTAGAAGGGAGAAAGGGGGAGAGATACAAATCAATTGGTTGCCCCAGCATGACCCTGACAGGGCCCAGAGATTGAACCTACAACCCAAGTACATGCTCTTGACCAGAACTGAACCTGTGACCCTTCGGTCTGCAGGCCAATACTAACTGCTGAGCCAAACCGGCCAGGCCTCTACACTCATTTTTAACCCAATAAGACTTTACGTAGGTGATACCAATGCTTTCAAAATGCTTGTAGGAGGAAGCTGAAATGGGCCCCCTTGTTTGCTCTGGGTTTTTATTAGGGCGTCTAGAGCTGTGCTGTCCAATATGGTGGTCTCTGTCTAGCCTTGTGTGACTATTGAGGGTTTGAAATGTGCCTATAGTAACAGATTCTTAAGACCCAGTAGTCCCCCAACAATCTTTCTTTTTCCCATCATTTATTACGTGATAAAATGATATTATTTGGGCTAAATAAGATATATTGTTCAAATTAAATTCATCTACTTCTTTTATTTTTTTTTAATGTGGGTACTAGAAAATTTTTAATTAAGTATGTGGTAACCTGTGATTTACAAGACTGGCCACTTTATAGTCACTCTTGATATTTCTCTGCCCACAACACATAAATTGTGCAATTATCAGTAAAACCTCTTTATTAAAACTGTGCTACAGAACTAGTAGGTGGACAGTAAAAAAAGAAAACATTAAACATGCGGCTCCAACATGTTTCCTATTAGACAGCACTGATCTAGAACCCAAACTCTGAACCTCCAGCAGGGGGCAGTCCTCAGTCAGATATTGTTGCGTTGTTCAAGTGAAGAATGAAGTCACCACGACTTTTCCCACAAATTACCCTGTGGAAAAACTCACAGACACTAGATATCTACTGATGACAAAACCCTAGTCCTAGGGTATTAGGCTCCACTGAGGGCCTGGCCAAGTAAGAACTTTCTCCAGCTTTTCCCCCTCCTCTGCCAATGAGGTGTTTCCTAGCTTTGCCTGTGCATAGCTTCCCCTCAACCCCTCAGGCAGCACCCGCAGCCATTCAAACTGGACATTCACCAGTGGATAAATTCTTCACACTGACCGATGAACTCGATCCTTTCCATTCTTAAAAATCTAGCCAACTCTTCAAAGCATTTGCAAACCAGAGGGCAGGAAAGCCTTCATTTGAAAGGACACATTCTCTTGCCCATTCCCTTGGATGTATTAGGAAACCAAGGACAGGACCTTCGTGTTCTCCGAGTCCTAAAGACTCGTCAGGAAGAACAAGATACTAGGATGAGTTTCAAATGTCACTTGACCAGTCAGAAAGCCCTGACACCTCCCCTGAGGGAAGAAGTTTCGAACCAGCCCAAACCTCCAATTTCCCTGTACTTTTTTTTTTTTTTTTAAATCCTCACCCGGGGACATTTTTCCATTTTTTGTTCAGGTAGAGTGGGAGGGAGAGAGAGGAACAGAGAGAGAGAGAGAAACATTGATGTAAAGGGACACATCGAGTGGCTGCCACCCGCACAACCCAACCAGGGCCGGGGACAAACTGCAACCGAGGTACGTGCCCTTAGCCGAACCCGGGTCTCTCAGGACCTCAGGCCGACGCTCTAACCGCTGAGCCAAACCGGCCAGGGCTCCCTGTACTTTTTTTTTTACTGCTTAATAGAATCCTTAAAACTTAGAAGGAAACATTTGACATTTTTATCAAAATATAACCCATCCCAAGTTTTCACTCCTCTTTGTGTACATGGCTCTCTCTAAAGGACAACTAAGAAATCACAAGATATGTCTACAAGTACACCAGGCAACACTCCTTTTATATAGCCACCCTGGTGAAAATTGCCCTGGCTGGAGATCAGATACATGTGTGACCACTTCAACTCTCCCTGCAGGCAAAAACACAGTCCCCATTTCTTCCTTAGAAAGGCCTAGCCCCCAGCCCTGGCCGGTTTGGCTCAGCAGTTGGAGCATCGGCCTGTGGACCAGAGAGTCCCGGGTTTGATTCCCGCTACGGACATGTATCCCCCCCCCCCCCCAAAAAAAAGGCCCAGCCCCTGATCAATGCAATTAGGAATTCTGGTCCTGTACAGAGGTCGCTGGGCACGCTGCAGAGCCAAGTCCACTGAAGGCACAGCTCCTGGTTCCTGTCAGCTGCGGCGACGCTATCCCCAGACATTACCTTATCCAAGAGCTCTCTAGTCTCCTCGGTCAGAGGGTCGTGGGAGAACATGCAGTCATCACCATTGATGCAGTTTCCAGTCGTGTGATATAACTTACACGGAAAATCACGTTCATGACAAATTAAGGCAAATGCTTCATCTCATGGAACCCACCCAAGGTCAAAATCCAACCCCGAGTTTTGGAGATAAGGAAACTGAAGCCCAGAGAGGTGAAGTGACTTCCTCAGGGTCGCACAGTGGGTTGGTAGCAGACCCAAGATGAGACCCAATTCTCAAGACTCCTGCTCCAGAGTGCTTCCCACCCCACCACGCTGGCCTTGGGGCCGTGTCCTCAAATCCCCATTCAACAGGAATAGGGGGGTTCAATGATGTGCCCAAGGTTACACAGTCAGTTGGAAAAGTCTCAGAAAGATCATAGGCAATATTAATGGTATAGGCCAGTCTCGAGAGTATATGTAAAGGGAACATATAACTTGTGGTGCCTCAGTTTACTCATATGCAGAATGGGAACAGCGGGCCAGTCACAGGACAAACGTGAAGTTAAATGAGATGCAGATGCACAGAATGCTCTTGACATAGCACACTGGCAGGGAGAGCAAGTGCAGTGGAGGTCAGCTGTTATTACCAACAAGGAAAGAAGTCTGCCCCTCAGATGTGGGTGCCAAAGGATATCATGCATGTAGGGGCAGTTCTCAGCCCTGGCACAAAATCCGGTGATGTAAAACTTGCATAGTTCTCGCTTCTTTGGTAGCTCGATATCATGGCTAAAATTACAGTGGTCTCCCTGGAAGAGAGGTGATGGAAAGGTCAGATGGTGGTACAGGAAGCCCTTGCTTACTCCTTCTGCAAGGGAAATGCTACTCTGTCACCGCTGAGGCACAGAGGCAACAATGACAGAACGAGTTCCCCTACCCTCCCCACAAGGCAGGTTTCCCACCAAATTTGTATTTCGACCATGTGTGTGCACCCCTCCCTTGGGCCCCTGCCTCCCTCCCACCATGTCCCCATCCCTCCCATCTCTATTCCTTGCCCTTCGCTACATCCTGCTAACTCTTCCTTCTTTTTCCATCCCTCTTCTCTTCTCTTCTCTACTATTTTTCACTATTTGCTGCCTGACAGCCAGTTTCCATGCTTCTTAATAGAACCTCAATTTTGTTTGGAGAATGTGTCCAGCTAAAAAGATTCCAAGTTTCCCTTGAAGTTCCAGCCATATGTGTAAGGCAAAAATCCCAAGGGAGGACAATACTGTCTCAATTTTTTAAAAATCCCACCACCACCCTGGACAATTTGGCTCAGCAATTTAAGAGCATCAACCTGAGGACCATGGAGTCACAGGTTCGATTCCAGTCAAGGGCAAATACCTAGGTTGGGGTTTGTCCCTAGCCCTGGTCAGGGTTGTGCCGGAGGCAACCAATCGATGTTTCTCTCTTTCTCTCCATCCCACTCTGTCTGAAAATAAAAAAATATCCTCAGGTGAGGATTAAAAAAAACAAAAACAAAAAATCCCACCACGTAGCCCAGCTGGTGTGGCTCAGTTGGTTGACTATCATCCCATGTACCAGATTCCTGGTCAGGGCACATGCCCAGGTTTTGGGCTCGATCCTCAGTAGGGGTTGTGCAGAAGGCAGCCAATCAATGCTTCTATCTCTTTCTCCCTCTCCCTACAAAAATCAATAAAAACATACCTTTTAAAAAAACCCACCACCTGCCCTGGCCGGTTTGGCTCAGCGGTTAGAGCGTCGGCCTGCGGTCCGGAGAGACCCAGGTTCGGTTCCCGCTAAGGGCACGTGCTTCGGTTGCAGTTTGTCCCCGGCCCTGGTTGGTTGTGCGGGTGGCAGCCACTCGATGTGTCCCTTTCACATCGATGTTTCTCTCTCTCTCTCTCTCCCTCCCACTCTATCTGTACAAAAAATGGAGAAATGTCCTCGGGTGAGGATTAAAAAAAACAAAAAACAAACAAACAAAAAAAAACCACCACCTATTTTTCTTCCTCTTTGCCCTTAGATGTGATGCCCAGAGGAAGAGTAGCCATTGAGCAACCATGAGGACAAAGCCACATGCTTAAGAATGGCAGAATAAAACCTAGGAAGGATGTCCTGGCCAGTTTTGCTCAGTGGTTAGAGCGTCAGCCTGCGGTCCATAGAGACCCGGGTTCGGTTCCCGCTAAGGGCACGTACCTCGGTTGCAGCTTGTCCCCGGCCCTGGTTGGGTCATGCGGGTGGCAACCACTCGATGTGTCCCTTTCACATCAATGTTTCTCTCTCTCTCTCCCTCCCACTCTATCTGAACAGAAAACAAAAAAATGTCCTCAGGTGAGGATTTAAAAAAAAAAAAACACCTAGAAAGGAGCTAGGGTCCCCCAGTGTGCCACTGACCACTGCGCTCCCACCCTGTACTGTCTATCCACCCCTACATTGTTCTGAGGGATAAACATCTATGGGTTTAAGTTAGTGGAGTTGCATTTTCATTATTTGTAGTTGGACACAATCTAAATAAAACAACACCCCAGTGAACTAAAGACAGAAATTGTATATCCATTTCAAAAGCCTTACTCTCAGGAATGGCTAATCATTTTTCTTTGTTTATATGTATTACAAGTTTCAAAAATTAATATGAATCGTGACTGTAATAAATGTTTCCATACACATGCTTTCCCAAGGCATATACACAGGTGTAACATTCCTGGGGCACATGTTTTCCAATCTGTCCACTGCCACTAAATGTGAATAAAAAGCTGGCTGACTGAACTAACACTGGGTCACACCGTTTCCTTCAGAATTCTGTGGTTCCTGGTCCATCTTGTGGCATTAAATTCTGCTGTGAAGCCTGACCGGTGTGGATCAGTGGTTGAGCATCAGTTCGCCAGTTCAATTCCCTGTCAGGGCACATGCCCAGGTTGTGGGCTCGATCCCCGGTAGGGGACATGGCAGGAGGCAGCCAATCAATGTTCTCTCTCATTGATATTTCCATCTCTCTCTCCCTCTCTAAAATCAATAAAGAAAAATATTAAAAACAAAAAAATTCTGCTGTGAAGTTCAAGGCTGGCCTAATTCCCACCCCTCCTTTTCTATGAATGTCTTAATAATCCCCTTTCCAACATTCAAGTTCAATAACTAACCAGAACATGTTACATCTTTGCATTAGCATCAATCCTAATATAACATTTGAGGCCATATAGATTAGCTGAAAACTTTGGCCAAAAAAATCCTCCCAAAGCCAGAAAAACTCAGATGTGTCATCTTGCTCTGGCCTTTCAGTCCCTCTGAGAAGAGAAATGAGTCCCTCAGTCCCCACAGGCACCTCCTGGTAGTCAACAACTCCCACCCAACTGGAGCATGGCACCCCAGTGACTTTGGACTCTAGAACATTCCCAGGGGCCCATGTGTCCTCTGAGAGGTTGCCGCCCTGCTCCAGGAAGCCAGGTCCTTTGGTCCCTTACCCATGTGCACCGCCCCTCCACGAAGTATTTGCAGATGACTTTGCCTTTCTTGTCGGACTGCTGGTGGGGCTTGTCATGGTCATTCCTCCGGTAGCCTCCGCCATCCTGTTAGGGACAGAAGTGTCTTCATGTCAGTGACCAGACAGTTACATCTGACATCGAGGCCATGGGGAGTCTGAGCCCCATGGTATGGAGCACTGCTCTGACAAGAAAAGCTCTGGCCCTTGGAGCTGTTGGCAACAAAGATGCGAGCAAACACACCTATGCAGGAACACATCCACCTCCAGGAGGCAGAGGGCTGTGCCTTCCTGTAAAACTCTCCAGGGCTGAGTAGGTCACCTAGAAACTTACAAATCTTAGAGACTCGTTATGAGTGACTGCAGGTGCTACATAGATAAGGTAAAAACAGGGTGTTACCAGCAGCCCATCTCCCATGAGAGATAATTAGCGCTTATTGGCCCTATGGGAATCGCTGCTGGGAGCTGGGGGACAGGGTTAGCCTCAGAGGACAACTTATTAAAGGAAAAAGCCCTGGCCAGTTTTTCTCAGTGGTTAGAGCATTGGCCCACTGACCAGAGAGTTCCAGGTTCAGTTCCCGCTAGGGGCACGTACCTCGGTTGTGGTTTGTCCCCGGCCCTGGTCGTGGTTGTGTGAGTGGCAACCACTCGATGTGTCTCTCTCACATCAATGTTTCTCTCTCTCTCTCTCCCTCCCACTCTATCTGAAGATAAATGCAAAAAAATATCCTTAGGTGAGGATCAAAAAAAAAAGCCCTGGCCAGTTTGGCTCAGCAGTTGGAGAGGTGGCCTGCAGACCGAAGGGCTGCAGGTTTGATTCCTGTTCAAGGGCAAGTGCCTGGGTGGCAGGTTCAATCTCAAGCCCTGGTTGGGGTTGTGTGGGAGGCAACCAATCGATGTCTTTCTCAAATTGATGTTTCTCTCTCTCTTTCTCCCTCCTTCCCCTCTACTCTATCTAAAAAAAAAAATCAGTGGAAAAATATCCTCAGGTGAGGATTAACAAAAAATCCAAAGAGGGGCCTTGGCTAAACACATCTGATGAGAATGAAGTCGACTCACGCCCATGTCATCGTCATAGAAGTCTTCATCATCGTTCATTCCGCCCTTGTTCATCCCTCCTCGGCTGCCACCTCGACCTCGGCCCCGGCCCATCCCTTTGCCTCGACCTCGGGAACCCCGGCCACGGCCTCGATTTAACCCTGTAAAGGAGAGAAATGATGTCAACCACTGCCTCTCCCTAGACCACAACTCCAACAGCTGCCAGTAGGAGCCCCATCACCTCGTCATCTCCTGGGCCCCCTGCCCACCTCGTCCTCGGCCATCCTTGGACCTGCGGTACTGGTTCAGCTCCTTGGAATAGTCGTCATAATCCTCATCTCCCATTGGTTCCTCACTTTCTCCATACTGGAATTTCAGAAAGAAGGAAAAGTGTCATGTGGAAAACAATGAACTATGCATTCTGCCCCTTTTGCCTTTTTATTTCAGGAACAACTTCATTTTTATTTTGTTTTTGTTGTTTTATTTATTTTGTCTGTTTTTAATTCTCACCCAAGGAAATTTTTGTTTATCTTCAGACAGAGTGGGGGAGAGGGACACAGAGAAACATACACTGTGAGAGAAACTAATCAGTTGGTAGCCTCCAGTACAACCTCAACCAGGGCCGGGGACCAAACTGCAACAGAGGTACGTGCCCTTGACCAGAATCAAACCTGCGACTCTTTAGTCCGAAGGCCAACACTCTAACTGCTGAGCCAAATGGCCAGAGCATCAAGAACAACTTCAAACTCAGAAGAGCAGGTGGGAAATCCTGGCCTCTGGCCTGTGCCCCGTCCTCATAACCCCCAGCCTGTGCGGCAGGGTGGTCCTAATCCTTTCTGTGCAGTCTTCACTCTTAAAACTCCCACCCCCTGAGCAAATCCATTAGGGCACCCTGTACACAATGGACAGCTGTGCAGCTGTAACAAAGAACACACAGAAAGTTCTCAGCAGGGACAGAATAGTGAGTGTGGTAGTTCTCTGCGAGAGAGAGTGGCGGTGTGTGTGTGCACATGCGCACACAGAGCAGTGGATAAATAAGCACCTGACTGTAAAGGCCTAAACGTTTCCAGAGCGCACTTAGGAACCTTGTCTCCAGGGATGGGAAGTAAGTCACTGGAACAGCAGTGGGTGGAAGTTGTAATTTTCACAGCTCACCCTTTGGTATCTTTTAGTTTAAATCATATGAAGGTTTTTTTTTATTCCAAAATCATACATGAACATTTAAAACACATAAACCCGCCCTGGTCAGTGTTGCTCAATAGTCAGTGTTGCTCCGCCCTCACACTGAAGAGTTGTGGGTTCGATTACTGGTCAAGGGCACATACCTGGGTTGCAGTTCGATCCCCATCCTGCCCCCATTCGGGGCACATGTGGGAGGGAACCAACTGATGTGTCTTTCACACATCAGTGTCTCTCTCCCTCCCTCCCATTCTCTGTAAGATCAATGGAAAAATATCCTTGGGTAAGGAGTAACAAATAAAATATAAACCCTGGCTGGTTTGCTCAGTGGTTAGAGTGACAGCCTGTGGACCAAAGATTCACAGGTTCAATTCTGGTCAAGGGCACATGCCTCAGTTTCGGTTCAGGCCCTGGCCCTGGCCCTGGCCAGGGTCGTGCGGGCAGCAACCAGTTGATATGTCTCTCTCATGTCAATGTTTCTCTCTCTCCCCACACCACCCCCCTCTATCTGAAGATAAATGGAAAAAAAGTATCCTCGGAGGAGGATTAAAAAATTTTCTTAAATAAAATAAAATATAGCCCTGGCCTGTTTGGCTCAGCAGTTAGAACGTCGGCCCGTGGACCAGAGAGGCCCAGGTTCAGTTCCCGCTAAAGGCATGTACCTTGGTTGCAGTTTGTCCCCAATCCCCGTTGGGGTTGTGTGGGTGGCAGCCAACTGATGTGTCTCTCTCATATCGATCTTTCTCCCTCTCTCCCTCCTGCTCCGTCTGAAGATAAATGGAAAAAAAAAAAAGAGTCCTTGGTTGAGGATAAAAAAAATAAGTTAATAAACAAAAATAAAATAAAATATAAACAAATAAGTAAACATCAATGGAAAAAATAATCCTTGAGTGAGGATTAACAAAAATAAAAATAAATAAGTAAACAAACACGTAAACCTGCCATCTGATACTTTCTTTCCTCCTTAGTCTCACAGGCTATCCCCACAGCACATGCAGCCCACCAGCCACTCCCCAACCCCTGGGCAGCAGGAACTCTTACATCCATCTCATCCTCATAAAAGTCATCTTCGTCCTCTGGGTGGTCTCCCATGGAGCCTCTGCCCCTGCCTCGGCTGCCCCGGCCCATGCCTCGGCCTCGAGACCCTCCACGGCTTCCTCGGCCCCGGTAGCCCCTGCCACGGCCTCGGCTGCCTGCACGGTGATTCAGAAAGTGAGCGCCTGAGCAGGAGCAGACCCCACCAACAAGAAAGACGTTAACCCATTGTTTGCCCGTGAGAAGCCTTCCCAGCTTACCCTGGCAGACTAACGGTTCCCCTGGTCCCTTCAATGGGGGTGCCCCAGCATTGTGGGTACATAACTGCTACAGCACTTGCTACGCTGAAAGTTGAACTGTCCAATACGGTAGCCACCAGCCCATGTGGCTACTGAGCACAAGAAATGTGGCTGACCAAACTAAGAGATGCTGTGAGTATAGAGCACATCTGGATTTCAAAGACTTAGTAAAAAAAAAAAAAAGGGAATGTAAAATATCACATCTGCCTATTTTGCTGACGTGTTAAAAAAGGATTCTGAATGTATTAGGTAGATAAAATATATTGTTAAATTTAATTTCATCTCACTACTAGAAAGCTGTTAAATTAGATGGTAGTTTGCATTCTGCTTCCATTGGACAGCAGTAGTCCCAAATCTCCCCACAGGGACATGTCCATGAAAGACTATCGAAAGAAGGCTCAAAGGCCAATCAAACAAGCTGGGCCTTACACAGAGCTAAGAACTGCTGAACTAGAAGGTTCTGGAAACCCCTTGGGATGGGAAATCTCATTGGCAGGAAACTATTCTAAGAGGCCAGGCTGATCTCTGGTGCTCTGCCCTCCTCCACCATCCTCCTAACTGCCATAGTTCAAGGTTCAGAGGTGTGGCAAGCCCATGGGATAGTCACACCTTGTCAGGTGATATGACCTGAGGATGGGGGAGGGGGCTACTAAGGATTGTGGCAAACAGCTGTCAGTCACACTGGCCCAGATGTGAAAAGCTATCCCTTCTCTTTCTGCTCACAGCTGACCAGGAGAATTCTTTCTCTCCCTGCCTCATACAAGCCTGGCTCCTTCCCAACCAGGGCCTCTGCACTGGCCTCTCTTCTCATGTGGCTAACTCTCCCAAACCTCTCCTTCAGCACTTATCTCAGCCCTAAATGACTGCCTGTCTCTTCTCCTGGACCTGAGGCTCCGTGAGCACTGAGTCAACCAGGTCTGTTTCACTCTGCACCACCCCTCCAGTCCCAACATCAGGTCTCCTAAGATGCCCTAGAGTAGAAGCTGTGGGATCTCACCTCGGCCCCGGCTGCTGCCCTCCTTGGCACGCCGATACTGGTTCAGCTCTTTGGTGAAGTCATCGTAGTCCTCTTTGCCCATTTCCTCTTCCTCGTCGCCTTCATACTCCCCGTACTGGTCATTCTCATAGTCTTCATACATGCCATAGCCTTTGCTGTCCATCTTGGAGTAGGACTTCTTGGGCAGGGATGTGCTGTGCGATGGGGGGTACTGTTGGTGGGACTGACCAAGAGAGGAGGGTGAGCAGGCCCCAGGGCCTTGGGTGCAGACCACCAAAATCCCCACTTCCCTGGAGACACACCAGTCCCAGCCACTCTGGGGACTGGCTCCCACCAGAGTGAGATCTGGGCAGTAGGCCCAGGTTATTTCTGTTCATCAGAAAGGGCCACAGTTTGAAAGAAAATTGAGAAACACAGACCCCATAATCCCTGAACCAGGGAATTATGGGGGACATATTTGCCAGGGAAGTAGAGCAATCTCATTTGGGAAGGGGGCCTGGTAGGTAAGAGGGGTGCTCTTCCTGGTAAAAAATTTCCTACGGTCTTAGAATTCAATTAATGACTTGCTTGGCAACCAAACTAGAAAGCCATTTCAAATGATGCTTTCCAAAGTATGCTAGTGCCAGGAGATACTAGATGAAGTTAAATATATAAATAAATGGAAGCCACCGAAATGTCCTCAGGCAGTAAATGGATAAAAAAAACTGTGGTACACCCAGACAGTTTATTATTTATTATTCAGCAGTTAAAAGAAATGAGCTATGGAGCTATGAAAGACACAGAGGAACCATAAACACAAACTGCTAATTGAAAAAAGTTAATCTGAAAAGGCTACATACTGTATGAGTCCGACTCTCGACATTCTGGAAAAGGCAAAACTAGAGAGATAGTAAAAAGACTGGTGGTTGCTAGTGGCTCGGGGGAAGAGAGGGCAAGTAAGTAAAATGGGGGATTTTAGGGAATTGAAACTATTTTATATGATAGTGCACAGTGAATACATAACTTTATGCCCTAGTCAAAACCCAAAGAACTGTAAAACCCTAATGTAAAGGTATGGACTCTAATGTGTCGCTACTGTCTCATCAATTACAACAAATGTACCACATTAATGCAACATGTTAATAACAGGAGAAATGAGGTGGGGTGGGTAGGAAACTGTACTATCGGTTCAATTTTCTATAAACCTAACTAAGACTGCTCTAAAAAATAAAGTCTAATTTAAAATAATCAACACTCATTATAAAAAAAAAGAAAAAAAATACAAAACATAGGTAGATAGACATATACAACTACTTTAGCAAAACTTAAAGTGCCTCAATGCCCAGTTCCCAATTAAAGCTCATGGCGTTCCCTCCTTTTCCGCCTCACTCAGGTTTAAAGTCTGAATACGTCAGTAGATCAATGTCACCTACATCTTACAATAAATTCTCTGTAATGATGGGTGATGCTGAGTCATATGATACAGAGACATCTTTAAGAGCTACTAGCTTTAAAAATATTTTGATATATTTTCTTATCAGTTTTGCTGGGGGAAAATAGAGTATAAACTGAATAAAAAATTTAACTTTATGTTTGTTTAAGGTCAGAGATATAATTCACTCCTTAACAATTTCATTCTCTTGCCAATTTCTGAACAGCAGAGAACAGTCAGCTATGATGGGGACAAGTCAGCATCTTTCTTGGGGATAGAAGATACACTGTCATGGCCACGGGAAGAGGTGACATCAAGAACTGCTAACAGGCCTGGCTGGTAAGGCTCAGTGGTTGAGCATCGACCCATGCACCAAGAGGTCGCCGGTTTGATTCCTGGTCAGGGCACATACCCAGGTTGTGCCCCCGATCCCCAGTAAGGGGCATGCAGGAGGCGACCAATCGATGTTCTCTCTCGTCGATGTTTCTATCTCTCCCTGTCCCTTCCTCGCTCTCTAAAAATTAATTAAGAAAAAAAATTAAAAAAAAAAAAAAAGAACTGCTAACAGCATGGCTTATAGAGATCAGCCACTAACTGGGTTCAAACCCCAGTTTCTGCACGTGAGAGCTGTGCAACCTGGTTGATGTTTTCTGAGTCTCGGTCTCCTCACCTGTAAAATGGGGATAAAGACAACACCTAAACTTGTAGGATTAAAATCTATGTCAAGTGCCACACAAGAATGTCCAGCACAGGGCAAGGTGCTCAGTAAACACTGCAGTCTTACTCTGTGGAGCCCCTGACCAGCAGGCACTCACCAGCGTGTATGGAGGGCTGTACTCTCTGTACTTGCGGTGCCCCTTCTCACTAGGGCTGAAATCCGAGTCATCGGAGAAGTCAGAGAAGTCATCACTGGAAGATGCATGGCGCTGCAATCACAGAGGAAGTGGAGTTAGTGATGCTGCTGCAGGGAGGCCACTCTGGCAGAATTAGCCCCGGGTCAAGCACTATAGGAATGTGCCAGAAGGGCTCTATGCTCTCTGTGAAACACCTCACCTTAGGGGCATTTAGCGGCAATGGAGCAGGAGCTACCAACTCTTTAAAAAAAAAAGTCCTGATCCAATTTGGGGAAGAAAAACACTATCAGGAGCGCTCTTTGGCCTGACTAGACAAGCTCGATCCACCGGAGAGCCCCAGGGCCAGGCCCCATTAACCCTCCAGACCTACCTTGTGCTTAGATTTTCTCCTCTTCTTTGATCTCCTCTTCTCTTTCTCCCTCTCTTTCTTCCGCTTTCGCTTCAGTCTCCTGTGAGACTTCTCCTCGTCTGAATCACTGTGGTGCTTCTCCCCCTTTTCTTTTCGGCTCCTCTCAGGCCCTCCGGAGGTATCCTGAGTCTCCTCTACCCCGTCATCCTCCAGTTCACCTTCTTCCAACTCACCATCTTCCCTACAAACCAACCCCAAAGCCAACATGAACACGGGTTTGAGAGGAGAGCTCCGAGGGCTCTGGGCTGGCCAAGGCTGGCAGGAACGGAGGGCCTGACTGCTGTGAACAAAACCTGTAATCCCTGCCAGAGGCCTTGGAGGGACGTGGGGTACGCTGCCTCCCATCCCACCCTGCCTTCCTCCCAGCTACCCTGACTAAGGGCTGGGGGAGGGGACAGGGACTGACACACTGTTGGAGCAGTATTTCCCAAACTGTTTCCTAGGGCTAGAATGACTATAATTCCAAGAAGAAGAAAAGAGGTTCTGTGGTCAAATAAGTTGATGGAATCCCTGCACTGGGGAACTACAGTGCTTAATGCTGTCAAGAAACCTGCACCATGCGGCTTCAGAGCACTTCTGAAATGCACTTGACCACAGACACTGCTTCTCAGGAAACACGGATGAGCATCCCCCCAGGCACAGTGGCTTGGGGTCACCACTCGGCCCCAGACCTATGGATATATCCTGTGAGCTGAGGTGGTAGCTATGCAGTGGAGAGAGGCCATGATTCTAAACCAGGTGGCCTGCAGACTCCTGCGCCCTACACACAAAAGCCCTGTAAGACCCACTAATGAACAGACTCTGGGGTCTGACCCACACCATCACTCCATGACTCTTGGCCGCAGGCAGAGGAGAGTGGCTAAAAGGGGTGAGGGGAAGAGTCTAAGGCTCCAGACCCCTCATGAGGTCCTCACATGACAGCAGTCAGAGCGCCTGCAGAAGGGGTCAGCCTCCATCTGCTGCTCACCCCCTTGTTTCCCACCTGACTCGCCTTACCTCTGGATATCACTTCTTAGCACTCCAGGCTAGATTTCCTGACTTTGTCAACTCCCCCAAATACCACCCCACCCCCAGTTCTTAAAAAACAGAAGCACTCTCCCAACATGACAGATGCTTCCAAGAGGACTCTGTCTAAGTAGCTATGGGGTGGGGTGGGGTCAGGGATAAATAGGGTTAAGAAAGGAGCAGCTAGGAAAAGAACCCAGTTTTTGAGCCAAACCCACAGACACAGTTCTCACAAGTGCAGAAGCTGGTTTTAAAAAAAATAAATAAAAATTTGGAAACTTTTAAAGGTTCCCAAAGTTCCTCATGCGTGACATAGAAAAGTATGTGTGAGGGCATAAAAATGCCTTCCTTATCAATTAACTAGGACCCAAAATGAACAAAGATAACATAAAGAGTAATGTAATGAACCTAGGACCCAAAAGGCTAACAACAAAAGGAACTAATCTGGGCACAAAAAACCGTGGCCACTCAGATGGCCGGGGTCAGTGTGGGAACAAGCTCATCAGGCAGCCAGCTCCAGGAGCCCCCAGCTCTATCAGGCTTTGTGGGGAAACAACAAACTGACCCTTCTCCAATGATCCTTCACAGCCCTTTCCCTGCATCACTCCCTTTGTCTGCCTTGGTGCTGCTTCCTAAAAGCCAAGACCTTCAAGAGGGGCTGTGTAAACTCTCATTAACTCTCATTCCCAATTCAGAGGGGTCAGATCAGCTGAAAACCCAGGTGGTCCAGCCCCACAGATAGCCCAGCAGAAGTCAAGGGCAGCTCTCAAACACAGAATGCAGGACACGGAACTATGATGTTTCAAAGGAAACAATACAGAGAGCTGACCAACATGCATCTCGTGTTGTTTTCCTTGTAAAGGGCCAGGTTGTCCTGGGCTGGTCCCATAGGAAGATGCCCAGTAAACTTGGGAGAAGGCTGAATTCTTGACAAGTGAGGTACCTTCCAGCTTGGGTGTGGCCCATAGAATAAGGGGCGAGGGCGGCACCAAGCAAAGCTCTCATGGGACAAAAGCAATCTGGCTGGAATGGCCTCACCCACAGTAAAAGTGCCACCTGACTGGGGAAACTGGTTTTAGCAAGCTCACCAACCCAAGGAAGAAGCTGTTATTCAATGGCAGGGCAAATTCCTGCTGCTTGAAGTTGTGGAAGACACTGGAAGAGTAGAGACAACAACATGTGTGCCCCTGAGGGAAACACTGGGGTGGGCCAGATGGCCACACATCAGGAGAAATATAGGGAAAGAGAGACTAGACAGACAGACACAATGGAGCTGGGGAAGGTCCAGAGACAGATCAGAGGTAGAGGCTGATACCCATGAAGAAAAGCTACAAAGGGCATCAATCTCAACACTTTAGTATGAACAGGAAAAAGTTGAGAGGGACATGGGCATCAAGTACCCAGAATCCCAGGACAGGAATGGAGGAAGTGCAGTGTGACAGGAACTGCCTAGGCTTCCAGAAGTCCAGACAAAAGACATAAAGCCCAAGACTGCCAAGAGCAAAAGAGCCTCCAGAAACCAGGAGAAGCCTGTAGAGCAGGGATAGTGGAATGCCATCACCCTTTCGTTCCACACATAAGGGAGAGTAGGTGAAGGAATTTGCCGAGGTCAGATAGAAGCGGTTAAGGGTAGGGGTGGGGGGTGCAGCTGACACAAATAAAGCCAGAGCAGATTTGTTTCCTGACTCTAAGCCCACTATTCTTGCTAATTGGTGAGGACCGAAAAGCAAGGGGGAGACCACTCACCCACCACCCAATTTATGCCACAAACATTTCTGAGCATCTTCTCTGTGCAAATCCTTGAGCCCTCCTTTTCTGCATTGTTCTCATAGGAAAAGACACCGATTACAAGAAATCCAGTCTCTACAGCAGCCACCGAGACACAGGGCCCAGGCAGCTGAGCCAGGGTGGCCAGCAACCCCCAACACTCCTTCGCCTGTGCTCGATCCTAGGCAAGGTCCCAGGGACACAGCAGTGAAGGTCTTGCCCAGGGTAAGTGTAAGCCTCCGTCCCTATCCTGTCACTGCACACTGGCTTGCACCAAGCCACAGGCTGCTCTGTAACACCTGGGGGCAGGACCACAAAAGACCATCCAAGCAACACCAAAGCCTTCACTGGAGAAGAAAGCCTTTCACTGCAAAGAACTTACCAAGACAGGTCCACCCCACAAAGATTTCCAGTCAAAAAGAAGTTCTGCATTATCTGTAGTAACAGCCCCCCCAATCACACCTGGGCTCATTAAGAATCTACCATAAGACTTTATACGCAACATTTTACCAAATGAGGAGTGAATACCTGAAACTTTGTTTCCTTAAAGTTGGGAGAAGCTGAAAAATAAAATAGGATTTAAAAAACTCTAGTGATTTATGAAGGGGAACAGCATACTGGAGGGGACAGTGGGACAATGACATTCGACTGACTATACTGAACATTCTCAGTGCCATCTGGCCACACCATACTCTCAAACTCCTCAGAGCCCTGGGCTAAACTCTGGTCACCTAACAGGGTGCCTTCTGCTAACAATGGGGAGTCCCAACTAAATGTCCTGCATGAATACCTGGTCTATTTCCTTCAGACTCTGTTCAACAGAAAGAAAATCAAACCACCTGGGATAGAGGGCCACAAACACAACTGCACAAGGCAGTCTCCACAAAACAGTAACTAGGTTTAAGCAGTGCCACTTCACAGGCTGCCAGCAAAATCCATGTCAGAGCAGGATTAAATACCCAGGGAGCACGCTTAATAGACTGTGACATAATCCCCCAAGAAAAGTGGGGAAGCCCCACTGCGTTAATCATTTCAATCAAGACCTGCCAAGCCCTCCTGAGACCAGCACACAGGAGAAACCCTGTAGCAATGGCCTGAGCAGAGACCACTTTATTCCCAGAGAAATGACCCAGGGAGGTTACACAGGGCCAACCTGCCAGAGCTATCAGGGGCAGGAAACCAACTATGCTGGGAAACTGACTTGGAACAGGCGCCTGGGAAGAACTGGGAAGAGGCCAACGCCTTGCCTAGTCAGATCTGCCTTTCGCCTCCTGGACTAAGCTTCTGGGGCATTTAAGTTTCCATTTGCAGAGCTGGTGATAACCAGCTCCTCCTCTTGGGTCAAAGAATAGATCTGGATGTCCATTCTAAGAAATGCCTATTCAGCCAACTCCACGGGACACAGACGCATGTTGGCTGGGTTCATCACCATACCATGGGTTTGGCAAAAACAGTACTTTTACCATGTTTCAAAGTAGGCTGGCCCCACCCACCAGACTACTGATTTGGGCATCTGGCTTTTTTTTTTTTTTCAGGTCAAGTAACTCCACTAGCTCTTCCTCTTCTCTAGTGTATACTCTTGGTACACATAACCTCAGCCTTGGTTTCCTCATCTGTAGAATGGGATAACTATAGCACCCACCTCAAGAGGTTGTGAGGGTTAAAGGATGGGGGTAGGCACAAAGTAAGTAACAAAGTAAGAACCAGCTAGTGTGAGAGTACCTCTGCATAAATAACCCTAAATTCCTAGCTGAATGCTCAGTGGGAAGCATTTTCTCTAAGGAAAAGCTACAGCCAACTCCCCTTAGGGACCACTGTTAACTGCTGGCCAACAAGGTCCCACTTTTCTTGATCGAACCATGCATGCACTATCCTCTCCCAACAAATCCTGATGTAACTGACAAATAGACATCTCCCTTTTCTCAGCTCTAATCTAGGTGGTACCAGAGAGTAACCAGGAGAGCTGAGCCCCAGGGAGAAAGGACAAAGGTTCCTTACAGAATCAAAGCTTGGCAACGTGGAAATTCTTTAGACAGAGTTGGATGAAAGTTGAAAAGGGCCTGGGTTTGTGGGTCTGGTTTACAAAGAAAAGAGGAAGGAAAGAAAGGAGGGGAAGGGAGAAGGGAGGGGGAGGGGAGGAAAGGGGAGGGGAAGGAAAGAGGAAGGAAGGAAGGAACGAAGGGAGGGAGGGAGGGAAAAGGAGAGAGAGGGAGACTAGGGGTAGACAAAAAAAGACAAAGAAGATGGAAACTCATGGAGCAGTGGCTATTACCTGAAGATCATGAGAGCCCTTGACAAGTGACGGCTAGGTTAATGTGAAGGTCAGGGTTATGGTCATTAACTGCCCAAACTCTCAAACAAATTGCCTGGGTAGGCTCTGAATGACCTATTAACTAGGGACAAAATCAC